GCCCTCACACTGATGATGTCTTATCGGCGAAAATGCCCCTCCCCACCTCCAACTCTGAAAATTCGTGAAGAACGTCGCTCTGGTTGGATGAGTCCTTGGGAGATGGCTGCAGGTGTGCCGACTTTGTGCACCGGCTGCAGGGTGGGCTAACCACTGCGCCACCGCTACAAAATCCACCAATTCCGAAAATTCAGGATTCGTTAAACCGACAACAACCAACGGTGTAGAGTCTCTTAATTGGCTCGCGGAGTCATTTCACGGACTTATTTTCACGTAAAAATAACATGTCCTTGAGATTTTAATTAAACGGGTGGGGGCAGGTAGCGGTCAGGTAAGGTCACGTCACGTGTGCAGGTGTCAGGTATTGTGACCTCACCTGCAGAGACTCACCCGTTGTGCTCCTGTGAGTAACGGGACCGTACACCTGTGGTGTGACCTCACCTGGTACCGACGCTCAGCTGTGATGTGCTCACCCACGTGACACAGTGACCCCTCACACAGTGACACCCCACACAGTGACAAAGACAAAGATCCCCCGTATAGCCTGAACAGACTGTAGGGGCAAGTGCTGTTAGCGAGCACCTATGAAGGCCGGAACGGTACACGAGGGGGTGGGTGGGCCAGCACCACGCCCGACCGCCTTTGTCTCCCTAGTGGCGATGTTTACACACCACACCAGGTACTCATTTAAGGCTGAGTCGACCTAGGGGAGGCCCAGGACCGGTTCAGATAATCGTCACTGGTGTTAGCCGTGAGCGGGAATCGAACCCGGGTCGCCAGGTTCATAGCGCAGCGCACTAACCGCTACACCACCGCTCCCCCACAGTGACACACACAGTGACACACACACAGTGACACACACAACACACAGTGACACACACACAGTGACACACACAGTGACACAGCACACAGTGACACCTCCCACGTGACACCTCACACAGTGACACGTGATAGTGACACCTCCCACGTGACACCTCACACAGTGACACACACACAGTGACACACAGTGACACTCACACAGTGACACCCCACACAGTGACACACACACACACACCGAGTGACACACACAGTGACACACACACAGTGACACCCCACATAGTGACACACACACAGTGACACACACACAGTGACACACACACACACACCTAGTGACACACAGTGACACACACAGTGACACACACAGTGACACAGCACACATCTGACACAGTACCGGTGCGTGCCGCATTTGCCATGCACAGTGACGAAGAGGCAGACGGGAGCCGGTGGGGAGATGTTAACACCTCGGGCTTTATTAGAATATTTGGCTAACAAATAAACACTTGTACGCGAGAGAGAGAGGGAGATAGCGCAAATCTAAAATAAAAAAGAGAGAGATGATCAGGGTAAAACATACCTGTCTAAGAGGTACTCGTCGTGAATATAAACGGAACCGATATTGATACCAGAAAAAAAAAACGATCCGTCCCTTATACAAAAAACTGAATCATTATAATAATAATCATCGTTATAATCAAGATCAGACGCATGGCACGCAGCGACGGAGGCGAGGAGTGAGACGGCGTCAGAGGCCCTGCCGGTGGTAGGGGTACGAAGAGAGGACGACCCGTGCGGCAGACATCCCCGCACTCCCCACCGCGACCCCCATGGTCTACACCCTCGCAGACCAAACCCCCCCCCCAACCCCGTATGTATCCCCTGCCCGCCCCCGCTGGACAAAGCCCAAGCCCCCGCCACCCCGCCACCCCGCCACCCCCCCCACTTCATCTGACACACAGGCCACTGGGCCCAGGTCAGAAAGGTCAGAACCCTGAATTTTCACCCAGCAGACGATGGGCACGTCTCAACCGCAGGGGTTGCTGGTGCCCCGGCAGAATTAGCCGGGGGCTCCGAAGAAGCTCCCAGGGGGGGGGGGGGGGCGGGGACCGAAACGTCGGCGGGCAGCATGACCCCCTCCCAACCCCGGACCCCCCCACCGCCCCTTCACCTATAAACGTGCGCGTGGGCGCGACCGCGAAAAACCCACGTGATCGAGAGACGTTTTCCCCCTTCCGCAACCCTCCACGTCGCAGACCGAGCGCGGCTTGGTACCTGCGCCAGCCGAATGTCCATGCCGTACCGGATCTCCGCCGCGGCTGCACGGACTGGGAGGGGGGGGGGCGGTGATCGCTCGGGGGGCAAGCCCGATTCGCGGCCAAAACCAAGCAGCAGGGCCAGCCACCGCCACCACCATAACTGCGGCACGGCCTCTGAGATTCAACGGTGGAGCCAACAAGGGGGTGGGTATGGGGGGGTATAGGGGGAGAGGGGATGGGGGCGACAATGCTCCCATCCCCTCCCCTCCACCTTGAGACCCTGAACATTGATATACCGTAGAAAATACTTTGAATGAGTCCTGGCTCGGTGGGCGATGGGGGGGGGGGGTACCCTGGCAGGGGCTCTGCCTGCCCCCCCACCACCCCCACGCGGGGACTCAGCGCCGCTGCTGGAGATGTCGGTTCTCCGGACACCGGACGTTACAACAAAGCGACGGTGAAACGGGGACGTCAGGCGAATTGATGAATGTCGAGTTAGGGTGGAGCTCCGGTCAGGAGTGGGGCTTGCTACTCACGGCTGGTTGTCTGGTCGGTTAGGGTCAGGGGTCAGCGAGTAGGCCGAAACCCGACTTGACAAACGAGTAACATCGCGATCCGCTCTGCGTAGGGTCGCCACCTGGTCCAGGTTTCACCCCAAGAGTCCAAAACTTGGCATCGGCTTGTGATGCGTACCAAGATCTGGTACCTGTATACTGTTGTGGTTTTTATTTATTTATTGCAGTCGTTGCCAACAGACCAAGCGCCAACGGAGAAACACGCCGGGGGGTGTTTGGCCTGCGGTGGAACGGATGGCGGATCCCAGCTCTGCGTTGTGTCTCGATTCCTCGAGGCGCACGCAAGATGAGTTCCTGTTCTTTTGGCACGAGTGGTTAATACGCGGTGCGAGCGAGTGGCGCTCGCAAACTCCGCACAAAAACACGCACACACAGGTAGACGGTGAAGGCGCAGCCCTGCGATTTGCCTTGCTCATGCGCCTGGCTGGTGGCCTCCACTAAAGAGGGAGCTCGACAGCCCGCCCGCCCTCCCCCCAACGAGAGAGTGTGTTTGGCCTCCTCTTCCGCGATGGCCAATCCGTCTTTAAAGACGAGGCGGGTGTACCCACACTTTACCCTACCGTATGCGACCTGCCGATCGAATACCTGTGGTTGTATCTACATCGACAACTTATGGACGGACAGAGGAGGTGGCGGCGAGACAGAGAGGGGGGGGGGGTATTTAAGAAACTTGGGCCATGGTATCAACTGCCGCCCAGGGAGACTGCACTGGCGACCTCTGTCCGCATCATCGCCCTGACCTCTTCAATCCCATTAGCCTCGGCGATAAAGGCCTAGTGGGCCCATGTCACTCCCCCCCCGCCCCCCATGGCATGGCCTATTGGCCCCGAGGGTTGCTTCCCTGGACCACAGCCCTGTAGCATGGGGGGTATGGAGGGGGCTGGAGGGGGCACGGCACCCCACTCCCCAACATCTCAATTGTGAACAAGTTCCATGCAGAACACATGAGGGGGACCGACAGCCGGGCGTTATGTGATTGACTCACTCTGTTCAGCACTTCAACGTGTTTGTGTCAGGTTTGTGTCACTCCGACCGTGTTGTGAACCACCCCTGAGTTTGTGAATGTTCCCCCCCCCCAAACCTCCCCAACTCCACCCCCACCCCCCCCCCCCCCACAAGGCCACACTCCAGGGCTGCGAGGTGACCTCTCTGGGTCACGCGACGGGCGACCCCCCCCCCCCACCCCCCCCGGCTGTGGCTCGCGACGTCAAAAACTCCTCTAGGCAACCGCAGGGTCACCGGTTGGGGTCACGGGCCCACCGGCGGCAAGGCCAATCCGACCGCGGAAATCTCCAAAAGTAAGAAGCGTAGCCCGCTAATATTGCCGCGAACGAAATCTCAGCGCGAAGCATTTCGAGTACAAAAATAAAGGGAGCGAGAGAGATATGAAATAAAAATACAAACTTAATTTTGTTTGTTGTTGCACGCGATTATACACACGCTGGGGCCTACACATGGGCCTGGCGCGAGACCACTCCGGACGTCGGCGCGGCTCGTGGTGATGATGTGACCGGGGGATTGACAGCGATGGCTGGTGGTGGTTGCGGTGCGGGTGCCGTGTGCGGTCGAGAAGATTTGTCGGGACCGTAGACCCCCCCCTCCCCCGGCACCAAGAGACGACGGCGGCGCGGTTATCGGGAGGATGGAGTGGCCCGGTCTCACGCCGGGGAGGTGACTCGGTGTTGCGGTGTGTTTGGCACGCACGCACGCACGCACGCACAGGGCCCGTCCTCCTCCCACCGGGTCGTACGAGGCCCCACAATGCGACGCGGTGGCCCGCAGCTCGCGAGGGCCTCCTCCCCACCTCCCCACGGCCACAACGCACCTTTGCAGAGTGAACCCACGTGGGCCCCGAGTCACTGTACACACAATTCCTTAACCCGGGTCCCCCGTACGAATGGAGAAACGATAACGACGACGACGACGACATTTGACGATAAACAAAATAACGACGGCGACCATAATTGCATGATTAAAAGGTAAAGGGTGGGGGGGCACCTTAATTACCGTAACAAAATTACAAAAATAAAACGATAGAAAAAAAAAGGGACCGCTTGTGTGTTGTCGTTGAGTGTTCAGCAGAGCGTGGTGGTGGTGGCGGCGGATGCACCGGTCGGGTAGCGCGCGGGAGTCGCGCGTCCGTCTCTCGACAAGAGGCAGCTACGATGAATTGCACGGAAATAAAATGTGCATCCAGGAACGACCCCCCCCCTAACCCCCCCCCAACCCATCCCCCCCTTCCGAGACCAAATCCCCCCCCCCCCACCACTGCGGGGAATTCTATTCCCTAGTGAACGCACACACAGGCACAGGGACTTAACGAACCAACCCTGACCCCCCCCCACCTGACCCCCCCCCACCCATCTCTTACCCCCCACCCCATACATACCACGCACAAACCCCCCAACTCACCACTCCGGCGATGCCACGCGGAAAAGTGTACTTACAGAGTTTTGCTCTTTAAAAATGTACATTTTAGTGTTACTTCTCTCTCTCAATAATAAAAAGCACAGGCTGGTTATAATAATAATAATGTACATTAAAAAAAGAGGGAAGAAGGAGAAAAAGAATTTCAACCATTTAGTGGTCGCCCGTTGGTTTTCATTTCCAGACTTGGCAGCGCGAAGAATCGCTGCATCCAATCGGGTGTTCGGGAGATTGGGGGGCTGGGGGGGGGTCAGTGGGGTGGGGGGTTTAGTGGAGTGGGGGGGGGTCACTGGGGTGGGGGGGGGCAATGGAGGGCGGTGGTCTTGGCAAGGTGCTCTCGGACCATACCATTGGTGGCGGGGGAGTTTTTTTGCCGACAGGAAAGCGTCGTCCTCTGTTCACGGAGACTCGACTCTCGTTCCGCCATCGCTGCCATTGCTTCTTGTTGCTTCCACAAAATTGCAACTCCGATTTTTCCTTCTTTTTGAATATTCGCTTCTAAATCCCACCGCCCTCACCCCCCTCCCCACCCCAAAACTGGTGCCGAAGTCCAGACCGAGTGCAGCGTTAATGACGTCAGTTCTTCTCCTCCTCCGCCCCCCTCCTCACCCCCCATCACCGCCCCCCATCCGCCCCCCGTTTCTTCCCCCAGTGTTCTGTTCTTTCGTACAAAATAGCTTCGTCTCTTTCTGCTCTGTACAAGGGCACATCGCCAAGAGTTCTCAGCAGACGGGGGGCGCGGGTGAAAGTTGGCGGGCGAGCGAGCGGTCGGGCGGGTGAGCGAGCGAGCGAGCGAGCGAGCGAGCAGTCGCCCCGTGCTCACCAACGCCGCCCGTCTTCTCGCCCTCGCCGCCCGGGGCGAGGAGAATCCGAGGTCCGCACTGCGCCGGAAACGGGGGGCCTCAATTTTTGATTGGACGACGACGAGGAGGATGAGGACGAGAAGGAGGAGGACGAGGAGGAGGAGGAAGGGCTCGGGTTCAAGTTTTACCGTTTGGCCAATCAGGAGGCTTGTAAGTGGGGTCGCCGTGGCGACGCGGCCTTTATGTTGCATAGTGGTCGAAGCTGCCCAGGTACTCGAGCGCGGCGCGGTAGCAGAGCTGGTACTGATCCTGAAACGACGAACAACAACGATGACGACGACTCAGCACTCGTCCGTCAACCGCGCCACGCCAAAGCGGAACAGTATTGTGAGGGACGACGGTTCGGGCAACGGCCCTTCCTCAAAGCCCAGTAAGTGAAAGCGTGCGACTCAAGGCATCGCTCCCTTTGGCCGTGTGACCCGCGTCTCCCAGTCCGCTTAAACAACGCCTGCAACATGTTTTGGGGGGGGCCTCAACCGGGATGCGTGGCAGCCCCCCGTCCCTCAACGTCACGGGGTTAAAGGTGGCAGGTCGGTGGGTCACGGGAGACGGGTCACAGGTGGATAGATCAATGGGTCACGAGTGGCCGTGTCAAGAGGGCCACAGGTAAGAGGTAAAAAGTGACTGCTGAAAAGGTCATGGGGTCACAGGTGACAAATGACAGACTCACCTGAGACAGGTAACACGGTCACAGGGGCACAGGTGAGACAGGGGCACAGGTAAGACAGGTCACTGAGTCAGATCCGACAGGTCACTGAGTCATGGGTAAGTTCACAGGGTGACAGGAAGTGTGTGTGTGTCTCTGTGTTTCTGTGTCTGTTTCTGTGTTTTTGCGTGTGTGTATCTCTCGTATCTCTGTCTGTATGTATCTGTGTTTTTCATGTCTTTTTGTGCGTCTTTCAAGTCTCTATGCGTGCGTCTCTGTGTTTCCATATGTGTGCGTGTCTCCCGTATCTCTGTGGATGCCTGTGTGTTTCCGTGTCTGTATGTGTGTGTCTCTGTGTATCCGCATCTCTGTGTCGTGTGTCTTCGGTGTCTCTGCGTGTACGCCTCTGTGTTTCCGTGTCTCTGTGTCGTGTGTCTTCGGTGTCTCTGCGTGTACGCCCCTGTGTTTCCGTGTCTCTGTGCGCGAGTCACCTCCGTCTGGACGGCTGCCGGCCTCTGTGTGCGCAGCATCTTCACCGTCTGGAACACGTCCACCACGCCCTCGTAGCGCATGCGCTCCAGCACGATGCTCAGCGTGATGAACACGCCCGTCCGGCCCACGCCCGCACTGCAGGGGGGGGGGGAGCAGGGGTTGGTGGGGGGCAGGGAGTAGCAAAGGGAGGAAGGGGGGTGGGGGATCAGGGGAGGAGGAGGGGGGGGAGCATGGAGGAAGTGGGAATAGAGGGAGGGAGTTATGGAGGGAAGGGCACACGGGGGCATTGCGGTTGACGCGTGGCCGTTGTGGGCTGTGCGGAGGTTGGTGGAGTGTGGCTGAGCGGGTGACAGAATGGGTGACCGAGGGTGGCTGAATGGGCTTCAGAGTGCAGGAGAGCAGGTGTGGTGAAGTGTGAGCGGGAGAGTGGGTGAGCGGGCGAGCGGGCGAGTCGGTGGGCAAGCCGGTAGGCAAGCCAGTAGGCGATTCGGTAGCGGGCGGGCGAGCGGGTGAAGTCGGTGGAGGGCGAGCGGGTGAGTTGCTGGTGGGCGAGCGGGTGAAGTCGGTGGCGGATGAGTCGGTGGTGGGCGAGCGGGTGAGTTGCTGGTGGGCGAGCGGGTGAAGTCGGTGGCGGGCGAGTCGGTGGCGTGAGTGCGGGCGAGGGTCACCTGCAGTGCACGGTGATGGGCCCGTCCTGGCCGAACTGCTCCTTGGTCTTGTGCACCTGGCCGATGAAGTCGATGAAGCCCTCGCCCGACTTGGGCACGCCCTGCTCGGGCCAGTCCGTGAACTGGAACTGGCGTACGGTGCGGGACTGCCCGTCCTGCGCACAGCAACCGACATACAGAGTCAAGACAGCCGGTCAGGCACACGTGCAGTCATGTGGTCGGGTACACAACAGGTCACGAATTTGTGGAATCAATTCGGTAAACGAACAGACAGCCAGGCATATGGCCACACAGATGCATGGCCACACGGATGCGCGAGTGCGCAGACGCGCGGGCAGGATGAAAGCTCCTACTCACCCTGGCGTCGGTGACCTTGAACTCGCGCAGGATGTACTGCGGCATGTTGTACTCGGCCATGGGGTCCACCACGAAGTACTGGTAGCGCGCCGAGCGCTCCGCCGGCCAGTACTGGTGGCACTTCTCCTGCGCTCGGGACACACACGGGGGACACACGAGGGACGCATTTGGGACACACGGGGGGACACAGGGGACACACACGGGGACACACGGGGACACATGGGGGGACACGGGAACACACACGATACACACGAGACACACGGAATGTTATTAACGTATAAGCAACTGCCCACATCAGTCACAAAGATGTATAGCAGCTACGGGAAAAAAACCCTAACCTTGCCTCAATGTCTGAATTGCCATTTATCATGACGTGAGTGAGTGTGCACGTGTGTTGTTTGTGTGCTTGTATATCCGTGCGTTCAGACGAGTATATGATTGTGTTTCTATCTAAGTGTGACAGAGAGCTGAGGAGCGATTCTCTAAACAACGAGCAGAGCCCTAGCGGGCCAAGACGCGGCAAGTTGGCACAGTAGGGGGCACAGGTGCTGCATCGGCCGGTCATCTCAGTGAGTCAAACTATGGCACCTGGGTCAGTGCCATGACCCCCTGCCAGCAGCGAGCCTGCCTCACTTCACGTGGCATAAGCGGGATGGTGATGTCAGCTGTTGTTGTTGTGTTTTTGTGTGCATGCTTGATTGTCCGTGTGTGTGTGTGTGCGCACGCCTTACCCGTCCCATCTCGCGCAGCTTGGTGAGCATCACCACGATGGTGGAGTTGTGCTCCCACAGCATTCTCCAGAAGTCCTCCGTCGTCTCGGCCATCGGACCCTGCGTGGCGATGTACGCTGCCTGCTGCCTGCGCTCACGCGCGTACGCGTGCACACACGCGCGCGTCAGTACGCCGCACGCAGCAACCCCATTGGCCAATTCCCACGAACCCTAGCCCAAAACCGTGCAGCGATTGTTGGTGTTTGTTTCTTTATTAAAATACAACACCTTCAACAAAGTGCTCGTTGAGTTGGTGAGCCAAGCCGGGCCAGGATTGGACAAGGACACGCGCACCACCACTTTGCACCCAGGGCAATCGGGAACACTTTTTTTTTTACGGACGTGGACCGCACGCCATTATGACGCGCCTTCTGAAGGCTTGACGACGATCTACTTCCTTGAGCTGCGCGGCTGAGCGGTACGGTGATACGGCAAGGGGGAACGATAAAGTACGCGTTGGCGTACTTGCTTCACGAACACCCAGGACTGCCGCGTTAAATGAGAAACCGTCGGCGCTCGGGGACTTGCCATGACGGGCGATCTCGTGGCCGATCGGCGGAATTGCATTTGCAATGAATGGCGGGGGGGGGGGGGGGGGGCGATTCCACGATTGATGGAATACGACAACCGTTCAATGTCCAGTAGGCTCACAGCACGAGTCCACCGGATGGCGTTGCCGTTGGCTGGCCGGAGGTTACCCTGGCACGCGGCCCGGTGTTCGTCAATAACACGGTGGCCTTAGACGCGTCGTTTCGGGCAATAACACTTCTTGATGGCACACACTCACACACAGAGGCCAGGGAGGTAGAGGTAGCAATAGCCTAGTTTAGTTCAACTTAATTTTGTTCAACCAGAGGTGAAAACTCAAGCGAAACAGCGTAGTCTCAACTGCACTAGAGGCCTGGGGAATTAGTCGTATGTACGTTGAACTTCTTTCGCACCTTACGTAGCCAACCATGCCAATCGGAGACGCGGTGGAAGGACAACAAACTAAACACAAAAAGCAGTTTTCAAGAAATTCGTTTTTCAACCTGTCAGTCGGGGGGGTTTAAATATCGGCCGCGGAGGTGCCGGTGTAACAGGCTAAAATAACCGCTGCCCCGATTAAACCCGGGTATAGTTTGGCCCAGGCCACAGTATACCCGGGGGGATAAAGTGTCCTCGGCTAAACTAGACCCCCCGGGAGTTTAAACTAGACTGGACCAGACCATACCCCCTCTCCAGGCCAGAATATGCCCCATGTGAAAGTTCAAAGGCAATTATCCATACAGAGAACAGTCGACAACGAACTTCAATCTATATCTAAAAAGCGTATCAATGGAAGTAAGAATCTCAATTTGATCAATTGAAGCATTTTTAAAAGCAGTCGAAGCCAGTAAAGTCGAATACGTGAGCAATTCCATTGAAGTGTTGTCGAAAGTCACGGAATAGGGTTCGGGTTAGGAACTAAGAACTACAGGACTACTTGGACCAAGATGTCAATGAATATTTAAACACCTCTGGCATCTCTCGTGATAGAGTCTGGGCAACAGATGCCGAGATCATGGCCACAGCGAATTCATGTGTATATCGCTCAACACTATTACTATCATGGTGGTATGATTTGGCCTAGAGGGGCATAATTTGGCCTAGGCCCTAATATACCCCAGAGTATAAATTGGCTTAGGCCATAATATACCCGGGTATAATCTAGCCTAGGCCGTTTTAACCCCGGGTATACTACGGCCTGTTACACCGGCACAGAGTGTGGCACAAACACCGGCCGGAGAGGCACCGGTGGGTGGGCGCCTGGCTGGCGGCACGTACCGGTATCCGTCGACGAAGCTGGCGTTGATGTAGTCGGAGCCCTCGACGCCGCGGATCGGCTGCAGCGGCACGCGCGTCGCCTCGTACGGCATCACGTTCACCAGCCGGTTCTTGAATTTGTTGCACGGCAGGTTGGCGCTGATGAAGCGCGACGGGCTCGACTTGCCCAGCGCCAACCGCTGCACGCACGCACGCACACGCGCGCAGGAGAGCGAGCGTACATCGCGGGGTCAGGCCACGAACTCTCGCGCACGAGGGGTAAAGGTCGCGACCTCGCTTCGGGAGCGGCAGGCCCACACGGCGGGTTCATCGACGATGTCGTGGGCCCGGGAAGAACCGCTCCGGACACATTTAAATCGGGGGAAGAAAAATCATGCACGTGCAAGGATTCTGTGCTGCTCAGACACACACGAGCGTTCGTCCTCGGATGCGTTTGAGTCGTGACCACGACGGCAGCGCTCGCGCCGGGTGCGCAGGAAGCCGTGTGATCGTGGGTCGTGGCGCGACACTGAGGCTCGGATAGCGCCTCTGCCGTGGAGGCAACGATGGGGCTACGCTTCGATCAGTGTGTCCGGTTGTCTTTAGAGTGAGTCCCCAACAGTATCACAGCTTTGCCCTAACGTTTCGTTCAAATCGCTTCATATTTACGAGACTTATCGTGGGCCCCCTCCTCCCCCTCCGCTTTAGACGGACGGACTCCCGGACGAACTCCCAAACGACAAACGTCGGGACTCACCCGGAACTCGAGCTGCATGCGCGTGGTGTTCTCGCCGGGCTCCGCCGTGCCCAGCTGCTGCAGGTGCGCGTAGAGCGTGCGCGCCGGCACCTCGGTGGGGCCCGCCGTCGCCGCCTCGAGCAGCGCCTCGTGCACGAACACGTACTGCTCCTCCGTCTGCACCGTGTAGTTGCGCTGCGAGCGCAGGCACGTGACGAAGCCGTACACGTCCGCCGTGCGCTCCGAGCGCAGGCGCTCCAGGGTGGCGTCCAGCACGACGAAGCAGCCCGTGCGGCCCACGCCGGCGCTGCGGAACACCCAGGCGAGCGTTCGAGCCCAGAGAGCAGAGAGAAACAAAGGCCGAAGGTGAGGGTCCGTTCCCCCCCGCAGTGCGGTTTCGTACTGGGATTGGAACAAATAAGTTTTGCGGGCGGGCGGGCAAGAGTTCAGCGGTGACGTCACCGCGCGTACGTCCGCGTTTGTGTTCGGGTGGCAGGAATCGTGTGTAGTTTAAATTGACCCGGTGTAACAGGCTAAAATAACCCCTGATCCGATTAAACCCGGGTATAGTTTGGCCCAGGCCAGAGTATACCCGGGGGGATAAAGTGTCCTAGGCTAAACTATACCCCCCGGGGGTTAGGGTTAGGGATAGAGTTAGGGTTAGGGATAGGGTTAAGGTTAGGGATAGGGTTAGGGATAGGGTTAAGGTTAGGGATAGGGTTAGGGATAGGGTTAGGGTTATTATTATTAAAGTTTTTCTGGTTGAAACAATCAAAGTCTATGTGTTTACAGTTTTAAATAAAATGTTGGAAAAATTTAGTAATTCATTTGTATATCGCTCAACACACGGGATAGGTGGTGGGACAGGGGGGGAGGTGGGGTGGAGGAGACGGGGGGTAGGTCCGGGGATGGGGTAGGGCGAGGGTTGAGGGGGGGGGGCCGCACCTGCAGTGCACCACCATGGGGCCCGCGTCGGACGGGTTGCAGGTCTTGACGCGCCGCAGGAACGCCAGGAACGGCGTCGGGTACTCCGGGACGCCGTGGTCTGGCCACGCCGTGAACTGGAACTGCCGCACCTCGCGCTTCTCGTTGGAGCCGTTCTAGAGGGGCGGGGGTGGGGGTCGACATCGTCGTCGCCACTGGTCATCGTTCGTGCGGTCGTCAGCCACGTTGTCTCCACTGCCGGATGAAGGCATCCGAGTAATGCGTCGTCCGCGGTCTCACGACGCAGCGATTTCGTGACGACGGTGAGAAAGGACACGGAGGCAACAACGGGCAGTGTGGGTGAGTGTGTGGGCGATTGTACCAAGGTGTGGATATATGGGTGAGTGTATCAGGGTATGGGTGAGTATGTGGGTGAGTCTATCATTATGTGGGTGAGTGTATCATGGTGTGGGTGAGTATATGGGTGCTCCTACAGTCTGTTAAGGCTATATGGGGGATCTTTGTCTTTGTTTGAATGTACCAGGGTGTGGGTGAGTGTACTGTGGTGTGGGTGAGTGTATAAGGACGTGTGCGAATATGTATGTGAGTGTACAAGCATGCGGGTCTGATCACGTGGGTGAGTGTACCAGGGTGTTTGGTGAGTATATGGGCGAGTGTAGCATGGTGTGGGTATGTGCGTGAGTGTATCAGTACATGGGCGAGTGCGTGGGAGTGTACCTGGGTGTGGGTGTGATCGTGTGGGTGAGTATATATAGGTATGCGTGTGTGTGCAGTGGTAGAATATGGGGGAATCGTGGGTGGTTGGGGGGGTGAGCGACGGTACCTTGTGCAGCGTGAAGGTGCGCACGGCGTAGGAGGCGAGCTCCAGGGTGTCCACCAGAGACACCTGCACCAGCCCGTACGTCTCGCTGCCCCGCGCTGGCCAGTACTGGTCACACTTCACCTGCCGGGGGGCACGGGGGGTGGGGGGTGCAGGGGGCACGGGGGTCAGCTGGCAGAAGCGGGGTGGCTCGGAGGTCAGAGACGCCGAGACACTGAATGTGAATTCGGGATTCAGCCGCCCATCTGTGATTTGTGACTGGGATCTCTAGCGATGCTGAGTTGGTGGTCTCAGTGCGGTCACAAGTTCATGATGCGGTTAATCACAGGGAGATCCACAGACGTCCGCAGAGATCCATAGACTCACACAGAGGCTCAAAGACTGGACTGTGATTAAACAAGTGAGTTGATGGTCACAGCCCGGTGAACTATTTTGGTTCGGCGATGAATTAGGCTAAATACCAGCCGCCGAGGATTAACCGTCCATGGTTTCACTGCCGTGCGATGAACACCGCACTCACGCGGCGGCCGCACGGGAACGCCCTGCCCTCTGCCGTGTCCACCAGGTCACCTGAAAGGATTTTTGTGCAGCTTGGGAACGCGACATCGATTGGCCGATTAAAGTTGACCGCTCAACTGGACTTTTCGAATCGACTCTTTCATAAACGGCGGCCGTCCCCACGTCCCTGCATTCCGAAGGTGGGAAACCCGCCAACGGGCCACACCCGGCGTGACACGGCCGATGATGTCACCAAGCCCTGCCCATCACCACCCGTCCAGTGGCACACATGGAGATCTTCCCCCGCCCCCCACCAAACTATTTTTCGTGGTATCTGATGGGTTGGATACTCGAACTGTATAATCGGAAGAGTAATCCGATTGGAACGAGCAGAGCTGGGCTCAACATGTTTGTGAATAACGCCGCGGCATTAACGCGAAAAATACACAATATAAAAAAAATAGGTGACGTTTCGGGACATGGTCCTTCTTCATAGCATATAGCTGGCAGTGCTCTTGGTGAAAGTGCCACGTTGTTTCGTTACGTGTGTTTGAGTCACAACTGCCAATGCACACTCACCAAGTGGATTTTGTTAAATCTCCTCTAGGACCCAATGAAAGAATAATCCCCATGCTGCTGCTGCTGCTGCCTGCCTGCCTGTCTGCCTCCCTCTGCTGGCAGCAGGACATCATGGTACACGCATTGTCACGAGCAGCCTGCGGGCGCTCACCAACGCCCGGTTGCTACGAGCAACAGAGCGCAGGCGTTTGCGCATCGCCCCGTTCGTGCCGAATTGTCCCCAGGATGTCACCGGCTCGGACAGCAAAAGATGGTCCGACGTTTCGCCCCCCCCCACCCACGTGCTGGAGCCAAATATGTTGCAGAGAGCCGCACAGCAATGAACAAAGACAACGATCCCCCGTGTAGCCTTTAACAGACTGTTGGGGCAAGTGCTGTTAGCGAGCACCTATGAAGGCCGGCACGGCACACGAGGGGTGGGTGGCCAGCACCACGCCCGCCCGCCTGCCTTCGTCTCAAAAGTGGCGATGTTAACACACCAAACCAGATACTCATTTGAGGCTGAGTCGACCTAGGGGAGGTCCAGGACCGGTTCAGATTATCGTCACCGGTGTTGGCTGAGCGGTGATCGAAACTGGGGTCGCCGGGGTTTCGTACACGCGGAGCGCTAACCGCCGTGCTCCCGCTCCCCACGCACGCTCGAGACACTAACAGAGACAACAACAACAACCGCCATTCGCCACTAAGTGGCGGTGACGTCACCACGACGCTTGTGCCAGGCCAAGTGCACCTTGAGGCCACGTGAAGTGTCGAACGTGGTTTCGTGGTAATTCATTGAAGGCGGGGCTAACAGAGACAATCGGAGGGACACACGCCCAGACAACAACAACAACAACAACCGCCATTCGCCACTAAGTGGCGGTGACGTCACCACGACGCTTGTGCCAGGCCAAGTGCACCTTGAGGCCACGTGAAGTGTCGAACGTGGTTTTCGTGGTAATTAATTGAAGGCGCGACTAACAGAGACAATCGGAGGGACACACGCCCAGACACACACACAGACACACACACAGACACACACACAGACACACACACACACACACAGACACACACACACAGACACACAGACACACACACAGACAGGGACGACATCGTGGTGTCCCACTGCACACGGCGTGCGTTAGTTCTGGCTGGCGGGACCGGGCTCCTCTAGCTGTCTGGTCGTTTTGTGTCGTGGTGGCGTTGTTTGGTACGATGTCCGACGTTTCGCCCCAGGTGCAGGGCGCTCCTTCAAGCAAGCGGAACACGCCCGACTGCGATAGCAGCGTGGCACACGCTCGAATTCGGTTGCCGAAGAACGTCTCGGCGTGGAGGGGCGAGCGAAACGGAAACCGAATTCGTTTCACACGGGCACAATCCAAAAAGCACAGCACCACAAAAAACCTACGCTGGGTGAGAGAGCAGTGGGGGGAGAAGGTTATTAGTGTTCGTGCAGCAAGAGCAGGGTGATGAGTGGGAGGAAGAGGAGTGGGCAAGAGGAGGGGGGGGGGGAGGCACAACACACAGTCCTTGCCTTTTCAGACAGCACTGACTGGCACTGAATCTGAAAAGATGGAAAGGGAGCGAGAGGGAGAGAGAGATGGAATGAATGAATTAAAGATTCGAACAGATGAGCACGCATTCACACGCTCACACGCTCACACCGTGCGCTCCATCATCACGTGGTCACGCGATCACACGGGCGGGCGATCATCGCTGGGTGGTGGACGGGGTGCGGGTGGGGAAAGCGGGCACGGTGGGTGCACGGGCAGCGTGGTACGGCACCATTGGCTGGCGGCGGTGCTACGGAACGCGCCACCGCAGCGCGGCCACGCCAACGCTATTATCCGCGCGAGGAGGCATTAAATATGAATAGGAGCGGAGAGCAAATAGAGAGGCTCATCCATTTTAATGCGTATGTAAATGACAGGTGTTTAAAATAAATATACGGACACCGGCAGAGACGGTTCGTGGCAGGGGATGTAGAGAGAGGGGGGCGGGGGCGGGGTGGAGGAGGATGGGGTCAGGGGGGGCACTTGAAACGAAGAACAGAAAAGTTGAGAGAGAGGGAGGGAGGGAGGGGAGGAGGGACAGCAACCGACTGAGCCGACTGGATAATAAAAAATAAAAACCCCCATGATTGGACATCAAGAGCAAACATGAAATATTGAAAAGCTTCTCCCAGAGCGCCGCACTGATGGGAAACGTAATTAGAGGCGGTGGCGGTGATTGATGGTGATGGTGACGATGATGGGGAGAGATGACGGGCGGAGGGTGATGGGTGACGCCTGCGACGGCCGGCAAAAGATGATGAATTTGACGAAGTCGATCAGTCGGCATGATCGAAGCGAGGAGTCTATGGGTCTCTGTGTGAGTCTATGGGTCTCTGTGTGAGTCTGTGGGTCTCTGTGTGAGTCTATGGGTCTCTGTGTGAGTCTATGGGTCTCTGTGTGAGTCAATGGGTCTCTGTGTGAGTCTATGGGTCTCTGTGTGAGTCTATGGGTCTCTGTGTGAGTCTATGGGTCTCTGTGTGAGTCTATGGGTCTCTGTGTGAATCTATGGGTCTCTGTGTGAGTCTACGGGTCTCTGTGTGAGTCTATGGGTCTCTGTGTGAGTCTATGGGTCTCTGTGTGAGTCTATGGGTCTCTGTGTGAATCTATGGGTCTCTGTGTGAGTCTACGGGTCTCTGTGTGAGTCTATGGGTCTCTGTGTGAGTCTACGGGTCTCTGTGTGAGTCTATGGGTCTCTGTGTGAGTCTATGGGTCTCTGTGTGAGTCTATGGGTCTCTGTGTGAGTCTACGGGTCTCTGTGTGAATCTAGGGTCTCTGTGTGAGTCTATGGGTCTCTGTGTGAGTCTATGGGTCTCTGTGTGAGTCTATGGGTCTCTGTGTGAGTCTATGGGTCTCTGTGTGAGTCTATGGGTCTCTGTGTGAGTCTACGGGTCTCTGTGTGAATCTAGGGTCTCTGTGTGAGTCTATGGGTCTCTGTGTGAGTCTATGGGTCTCTGTGTGAGTCTATGGGTCTCTGTGTGAGTCTATGGGTCTCTGTGTGAGTCTATGGGTCTCTGTGTGAGTCTATGGGTCTCTGTGTGAATCTATGGGTCTCTGTGTGAGTCTACGGGTCTCTGTGTGAGTCTATGGGTCTCTGTGTGAGTCTATGGGTCTCTGTGTGAGTCTATGGGTCTCTGTGTGAATCTATGGGTCTCTGTGTGAGTCTACGGGTCTCTGTGTGAGTCTATGGGTCTCTGTGTGAGTCTACGGGTCTCTGTGTGAGTCTATGGGTCTCTGTGTGAGTCTATGGGTCTCTGTGTGAGTCTATGGGTCTCTGTGTGAGTCTACGGGTCTCTGTGTGAATCTAGGGTCTCTGTGTGAGTCTATGGGTCTCTGTGTGAGTCTATGGGTCTCTGTGTGAGTCTATGGGTCTCTGTGTGAGTCTATGGGTCTCTGTGTGAGTCTATGGGTCTCTGTGTGAGTCTACGGGTCTCTGTGTGAATCTAGGGTCTCTGTGTGAGTCTATGGGTCTCTGTGTGAGTCTATGGGTCTCTGTGTGAGTCTATGGGTCTCTGTGTGAGTCTATGGGTCTCTGTGTGAGTCTATGGGTCTCTGTGTGAGTCTACGGGTCTCTGTGTGAATCTAGGGTCTCTGTGTGAGTCTATGGGTCTCTGTGTGAGTCTATGGGTCTCTGTGTGAGTCTACGGGTCTCTATGAATGTGCGTGTATGTTTGTTGAACTTCTTTCTCACTGTACGTGCTAATCGGAGGTGCGGGGGGAAGGACAACAAACAAAAAGCAGTTCTAAAGAAGTGAATTTTCGATGGCACGAACGACGCGGATCATTGTTTGGCATTCGCCCTCCGGCCTTGCTGTTTGCCGCACGTCATTTCGGAAACCCCGTCCGACGTTTCACCGTCACGGGTCACCCGAAAAGGGCGCTCCCCTTCCTTGGAATTCCTTGCCGGGTCCGAATCGCCGGACTGTCGCGTCCCGAACGACGCAGCGGCGCAGCCCGGAAGCGCGCGGCGCCGTCCGGGGGGAAGGAGGCGGGCACGCCGGGCGGCTGCGCCTCTTGCTGCGGAGAGGTTCGCGGCACGGATCTGGCGGCTGCCCTGGTTCATACATCCGGGTGTACGAACCCAACACACGACGACGTACCCGTCTTCGCCGCGGTGGGCTTTAAAGAGCCCGCGACGTTCATTCGAAAATGAGCGGAGGGGCCAACTGTGCCTGGCGTCAAGACCAAAGTTGACTTCACTGGGTAAAACCACGCAGCGACATTGCCCCCTCCTGGCATACCCTTTATGGCACGGACATGGGAGGCCAGCCCGTGGCAGCCCGTGGCAGCCCGTGGCTTCCTTTGCAAGGGCTCTGATTGGCATCTCCGCCCAATTCGTCTGCATCTGTGGCCCCGACCCATCTGTGACCTATGCCTCCACAGCCTCCTCCTACCCCTCCTCCTCCCCCTCCTCCCCCTCCCTCCGCGTCGCGGCGGATTTACTCCCTCCCTCCCTCCCCGGTTCCGAGAGGGCCGCCTCTATCCGCGCGGAACGGACACCGAACAATTCCCATCGCTTGCATTTCACGCGAGCGGATTGCCATGCAGTCAACGCCACCGCCAATCCACCCCGTCGCATCGTCGCCGTCGCGATGAAGGAGGGAGGAGGAGGAAGGAGGAGGAAGGAGGGAGGTGCGACGTCGCCCACCCTCACCCGGCAGCGCTCTTCCAGGCGCGTCATCATGACGATGGTGGAACTGCGCTGCTCCCACACCATCCTCCAGAAGTCGGCGAAGGTCTCGGGCAGCGGGCCCTGCGTGGCGATGTAGGCGTTCTGCTTGCGGTAGCCGTCCATGTAGTTGGCGTTGATGTAGTCGCTGCCCGGGACTCCTGCAAGGCAAGGTGGGAGGAAGCAGGGGAGCACGGGGAGATATCAAATGACGATGAGGATGATGATGATGATGACGAGATTTCTCTTTGATAAGAGCCCTCCCACCCTTTAATCCGGTGGGTGTCACGGACCATTTCACACGTGATAAACATTTTGAAAGGGGCACCCCCGGTGGCAGCTGTTCCTGATTTGGTAAATTTTGGACCTTGATGCTAGCAGACAATGGCCGACTTGTTTCGACCGATGTCGACGTTTTACGCACAGCACCAGGTACTCATTTAAGGCCGAGTCGACCTAGGGGAGGTCCAGGACCGGTTCAAATATTCGTCGTCCGATGTTTGCCCTTGAGCGGAAATCGTTCCCCCAAAATGACAAAGATCCCCCAGTATAGCCTTAAAGACATACACACACACATGGACAAAAATCAAAGACACACACAGACACTCACATACACACGGACACACAGACATGCATGGGTACCTAGAGATGGACACGGAAACGTACGGACACACACACGCACTGCCCTCACACACCTCCCCAGCCCGCCCTTTCCTCCCTGATATTGATTCATGTTAATGTGAGTTATTGAGTTATGTTAATATCGTAATATTGGATTATGTTAATGCAGGATATTGGATTATAATGCTTGCGAAATATTGGATTATGTTAATGTGCACGGTCAAGGTGTGCGCTTTATATGCGCCGCAAGATTTATGCACGAACCCTGCAATTTTAATCACGCGGCTTGCGCGGCGGAGATGCACTCGCTGGCCGCGGTTCTGGGCTGCGGTGGGGAGAAGCGAGCGGTGCCGCCACCGCCGTCGATTCTTTGCGACAGCGTCCATCCTCCCCCCTCCCCCTCCCCCTCCGTTGCAATTGCAACGTCGCGCGCAGCCCTCATCCGCTCGCGCATCGGTCGCCATTTAGTCTCGCCTCTGCACTCGCGCGCAGCGGCGCCACGGGGGGCCTCGGCCTCGTGACTTTGTCGTTGGACGCGAATGAATGTGCGCATTATTAGGATTCATATTTATTATACGTTGAATTCGTCGCGACTGTACTGCGATCGGTCTGAAAATAATCTCCCCGAGCCAACGCACGCTGCAGGGAATTCATTATTGAACATGGATCCGTGCTCGTGCAATGTTTTTTTCCATTTCTCACGTGACGACGCAGTTGTTTTTGCGCCAATTGCTATTCGCTTATTTCCTGAACTGGTGGCCCAGGCCCCTCTTGCGAATGAGACTTCTATCCCGGGTCTCTGGAATTCCCAACCGGGGTTAAACAAAATCTACTTGACTTGCATACTGCGCTGCAGCACATGCAGGACACTGCAATCGTGCATGGTCTGCAACGTCTGCTGCTTTCGTGTCACGTGCTGCAGAGGCACGTGGGGACGGCTGCCGCAGTGTAACGGCTATCACACCGGACTTGCCATCCAAAGGTCGTTGGTTCGGGCCGATCGGGTGGTGCGGGCGGCGCGTGTGATATACGTGCGATGTTTCACACACACGTGCGTGTGCACCCACGCAAATGCGCACACACACGCACACGCACACGTACGCTCGTACAAGCGCACGGCATCGTGTGCTTGTCCACAGTTACGTGTACGCTCACACATAAAAACAAAGATTCACCCCCACGCCCCCGCTTCACGTCGCACGCCACGTCGCGCTCGCTCGCTCACTCACCGTCCTGCGTCTGCAGGATGACGCGCGAGTGGTCGTACGCGATGACGTTGGCGTAGCGGTTCTTCGGCTTGTTCACCTCCAGGTTCGAGTGCTCCCACGTGAACTGTTGCCCGGGGTCGATCGACTAGGGAGGGACACGCACACGCAGCACAGCCACGGTCAACCACACAGACACCGGCACAGTGCATCCACGGTCAACTCTACAGCAACATCGCATTCATCGTCACCTAATATTTGCAAACTCCAACGGAAGCACTTCTCTTCGGAATGCCAGACGCTGGTGGGAGATTTAAAGATCTCTACGTAATCCACCAACCCTGAAAATCGCAAGAGCCTGTGCCACCAGCTGGCCTCTTCCACTACACATTGCCCGCTGCACACCCACAGTCATTTTTGCACGGGCGCTCAGAATATTCGGGGCAATGTCCACGAATCCGAGATCCAAAGTAAGGGCGCCCCATCCAACGGCACACGCTCTTCATGAGCTCGCACGGCATAAAAGCCGAGCCGAGCCCCCACCACGGCAACGTCAACATTTCGCCGCTGCCTCTGCAGGGGCTGTCAACGGGGAAGATGATCACCGCCCCTCGTTGCTCATTTGAGGAGGAAATCGGCTTTGGTTTGTGATGGTCTCGTAAGCGACCGCCGCGCTGGGTTGGCACCGAGTCATCGCCTAACGGACACCCCAGAGTGAATTCCCTTCGAATTGAGCACGGGGGAAGGTAGGGGAGTGGGGGGGGGGGGACGAAATAGACGCAGCAGGAACAATTTGAATGATCGAGGCTGAAGATAAAGTGAGGGACGGAGCTGGGAGCTTTGCAAAGGAGGGAGAGATGAAGACAGAGATGACACTAGGAAGGAGGGAGGGAGGGGGTGATGGAGCGGCGAGCGGGCGCGGGGCGATAAATCCGCTGCGCCGCCGTGCGACACGCTCGCAATGGTACATCCGTGATGAGAGAATAAAGAATAAGATTGGAGATAGGCAATTTGCATGGCGCATAAATGGATTAAGGGTTAACCAGTAAATATGATTTATTGGGGATTTTCCCCAAGAAGAATGAAATGGAGACGCATTCGGCCCCCCGTGGCAGTGAGATTTGAAAGCAGCCTTCGTGACGAAATAATATCAAACGCGCGCGGAACACAAATCCGACGACGCAGGATTTACCTTTGAGCGACGCACACGTGCGACCTTGACAGATGCGACTCAAGTACGTGGCCCGCATGACGTGCGTGCGCTCGTACGTACGTGTGGGGGGGGGGGGGGGGCGTGTGATGCATGCGAGTGTGTGCACGCGAGATATTTTCATGCACACGCGCGTGCATGCGCGTGTACGCTCGTACAAGCGCATGCATGCATGCTCGTACACGGTTACGCCACACACGTACGCTTACACATGCACACAAAGACAAAGATCCCCCTTTTAGGCAAAACAGACTGTTGGGGCAAGTGCTGTTAACGAGCACCTATGAAAGGCCGGCACGGCACACGAGGGGGTGGGTGGCCAGCACCACGCCACGTCGCCTTTCTCTCCCGAGTGGCGATGTTGATCTCATCGCACCAGGTACTCATTTAATGCTGAGTTGACCTAGAGGAGGCCCAGAACTGGTTCAGACAATCGTCACTGGTGTTGGTCGTAAGCGGAATTTGAATTCTGGTCGCCGGGTTCGTAGTGCAGTAAGCTACCAAGACACCACCGCTCCCCACATGCGCGCATACACACACGTAAACAACGCACACGCATACATGCACGCACACGCAGGTGTCAAGCGGAGGCATCACATCAGCGAGGTTTTGTGTCACATGGAACTGAATTCTGCCTCCTGGCATCTGTGGCGCTGCGATGCACACACGCACACATATGGCTTTCACTACGACACGCGCGCGTGTGTGCGCTTGTGCATGTGTGGGTGCACGTGTATGCGTTTGTGTATGTGCAAACGTGCAAGCGTGCGAGTGTATAAGTGTGTGCGCGTGTGCGCAAGCATGCACGTGTGAGTGCGAGTGTGCTCGTGTTCGCTTGTGTATGGGTGTGTGTGCAAGTGTGCACATGATTCCGTAAGTGCGCGTGTGTGCGTGCATGTGTGAATGTGCTCTCGTTCGCTTGTGTATGGGTGTGTGTGCAAGTGTGCGTGTGATTCCGCAAGTGTGTGCGTGCACGTGTGAGTGTGCAGACACACTGCGCGGCGTGGCTGAAGTGGAGGGAGGGAGATGTGGTGGTGGTTGTTGCTGGTGGTTGTTGATGGCGGTGGTGGTGGGGGGCACAACAGGGGGAGGAGGCGAGGGGGGTGGGTAGGGGATGCATTTGAACAGGCTTTGTTGTCAGAACTAATTTAAATGTAATTCAGTTATTCTTTCAGCTCAGCGGAGACGCGGGTGTGACACATCTGCTGAATAATTGGACGATGATGCCCCCGGCGGTCACACAAACCTTGGCTCGACGCGGCCCCAACTCCCAATCAGGATGACATGGCTACCTGGGGGAGCTCTACCCCCAACACGAACATAAACCACCACTACCCCGAATACTACACCTAACCCCCCTAACACTACGCCTAGCAACTAACGGGAACACTACCCTACCGCTACACCTACCCCCTAACACCACCACTACCAACGAATAGTACACCTAACACTAACACTCACACTACGCCTGAGCGATAATGGCTATCACTTACACTACCACCAGGCGTAACCTCTACCCCTACCATATTCCTACCTCTACCACTATAACCCTACTCCACACACTTCCCAACCCTACGAATTCAAGTGGTAGGTAGCTGATTTTTACATTGTTTAATCCCACTTTATGTCTAACCGTAACCCCACCATAACCAGACATTTTAACCCCTAGCTTCCCCTATCCGTAACCTTCTCCCAAATCTTAACATTTGCGCTCACCCCCTAACCCTGTCTCATAACCCCAAGCCTAATACTACTAACGCGACCCCTAACTCCCAAGCATACCTGCTAACCCTAACCTCCGACCCGTTAGGACAAACAACAAAGGCACGTGGCCTGCATCGTGTGCGTCACGTCACTCCGTACGTGACGTCGCCCCCGCCCCCGCCAACCCAAAGAGACGGCTCATACATGAATAAATTAATCTAGATTTGAAGCTTTCGTGACTGCAGGAATCCATACGCTCTGGTTCTTTCGGTAAAGTCACGTAGGTGGGCACTAGTCTATTTTGCCGAGTTAATGGCATCCGCAGCGTTTGCCATTGCTGCTGCATTGGCATTGCTGCTGCATTGGCATTGGTGGCTTCATTGGCATTGCTGCTGCATTGGCATTGGTGGCTTCATTGGCATTGCTGCTGCATTGGCATTGGTGGCTTCATTGGCATTGCTGCTGCATTGGCATTGGTGGCTTCATTGGCATTGCTGCTGCAGTGGCATTGCTGCTGCAGTGGCATTGCTGCTGCATTGGTATTGGTGGCTTCATTGGCATTGCTGCTGCAGTGGCATTGCTGCTGCATTGGCATTGGTGGCTTCATTGGCATTGCTGCTGCAGTGGCATTGGTGGCTTCATTGGCATTGTTGCTGCAGTGGCATTGTTGTTGCATCCCCCCCCCCCAGCTCTCTCAGCTCCACCCACTTCCAGCCCCACCCACTTCCTCCCCCCCCCCCCGTCCAGCTTCACGTCCCTCTCCTAACGTCTAGGCAACGCCCCCCTCCCCCTACCCCCCTCCCTTGCCCCTCCCCCCTCTCTTACCGATATAACCTCTTACCCACGGCATCTCTCACCACTTGAGCAAAACAAAAACATTATTGCTGTGGTTTTCCCACCTGATGGTGATTGCTTGTGTTGCAATCGAAAGGTCGTGATTTATTTTCTATTTTATTTTACACCTACGTGACTTTACCGAAAAAAATAGAGAGTATGAATAAATGAATTAACGAGTTCCATCCTCGTGCGAGATGGCAGCAGCAAGGTGGTCACAGCAAGCTGGACGCCAGGAGAGAGTTTGCGTGGCGTTGCCGTCCCTCGTGCGTTGAAGGAGTGCAGGCGACAGCGGGTTTCCATAACCGAGGTTTTGTTGGGTTAGATCGCGTAAATTAACACAGCCAATTGATGAGTTTTGTCACGTAAACAGAACGTGCCAATTCGTTACTAGTGGGTTTACTTAACGGTCCGTAGTGTCAATTTAACACGTAGGCTTTCGCGACCAATATTATTCATTATATAGGTTTTTGGGTCAGATCGCGTTATTTATAAATGTGTCGTAACCCTCCACCACCCGACACGGCCAAACAGTAAAAAATGTGTCACGTTTTTCAAAGGACAAAATAATTCACTTTGTAGCGTCGCTTGCATGGCCGCAGTCGCACCGCTGTGACTCGTGCCTTTAACTCTCCACTCGTGAAGGAGATGTGCGCATCGGCCTGCTGACGTTCTCATGCGATTGATGATGACACCAATGAGTTAATCAAACCTAAGCAGGTTTCAGCCTGGACATGGTCCATGAACCTAAGTCAACGCATTCATCAATAACACCACGGGCCTTAATAAGCAAAAGGCGACGTTTCGGGAAATGGTCCTTCTTCCCTACATACAGAGAGGCCAGAGAAGGCGAGTGAAATTCACGGGTGCAGGAATCAGTAAGTCAAGTTCACGGGACCAGTGACCATGACAGGAGCGATAAAAGAGTGATAAGGAGGCGGTCGGGCCAGCGAGGGAGGGGTATGCAGAGAGGTCACAGGTCCGGTGGCTGGCACAGAGTGACCGCAGGGAGGGGGGGAGTCGCCTCCGAGTCACCCATGAGTCATCCGTGAGTCGCCCATAAGTCGCCTCCGAATCGTGCGCATACCTCGTACTCCTGCGAGAACTTGAGGTTGTTGTTGGACTTGAGTCTCTCGACGTGGTCGGAGAGCTCCGCGATGGGGATTGGAGGGTGGTTGATCATGCCTGGGGGGGGGGGGGGCACGGGGGTGCGGGGAGACGCACCACCGGGCCCACGCACAGCACACGATGCACAGCACACGCACAGCACACGACGCACAGCACACGACAGACAGCACGCGCACGTGTGATCGTCATGAGACAGGCAAAATCGCGCCATCGAATGGCCATTGGATGGATATTAGATGAGTCAAACATGTGTTGTCATGGGATGAGTAAACATGTGATAGGCATGACAATGGCAAACATGTGACCGCGAGAATGGTGAACATGCGATCGTCAAGGGGAAATCACACACTATCGCCATGAGAACGGCGCACGCGATAATCGTGAGAGCAGCACACGCGATCGTCATGAGAAGAGCACACGTGCATGGACGCGTCCGGCGCTGCGCTCCGATGTTAATGCAGACGGGGTTAATGGCGTGAAGATGCCATGGCCAAGAAGCCAGGAAACCCAATAAACTAAACTAAACACATTTTTTTTGTTCAAAGGTAAGGCCCACCACTGAGCTGTATAGCGCGTTTTCAGGAGCGACCGGGCCACAAATGATAGCTCAATGAAGTGGCTTTTCGCGTGGAAATTTATGGCGGCCAAATGCTCTAAATGCACGTTGATTCTACATGTGGAAGGAAAAACCGGGGGACCTGGAGAAAAATCCAGGCGACCACGTGGAGAGAGAGAGACACGCAAACTCCAAATATACAGACGTCAGGGTCGGAATCGAACCCACGACCTCCTGTATACCAGGCAAGGTGGTCAACACCTCGCCACCGTGGCGAGATGACCTGTGACACGGATGAACCATGACCCAGGAAGCTTGCGGTGCAGCTGACGTGAGACCCAGTCCACCTCTGGACCACATGACCTATGACCCGAGTGACCTGCGACCCGAGCGAGACGTAACAAGGCGGCCGAATTGGACGGGTGCGAGACGGCCGCGGGCCTTTTTTTCTCCCGATCGCAGGCCGTGGATCTTGGTGCCATCGTCCATATGAGTGCAGGTAGCCGGTGGGGGGGGGGCAGGGGGTGGACGGCGCTGGTGGCAACCGGTGTCCACCAGGAGCATGGGATGGACGGCATGCGCGTTAACGTGGCCGGCAACAACCGGGGACGGTTACGCGGCTATGCGGTCGCGGCGAATGGGGGTCGCGGTTAAAAATGCGACCCGATCATTTCGCGGCTCTCGCCCTATGAAGAAAGAGAGAGAGAGGAAGAGAGAGAGAAAGAGAGAGAGAGAGAGCGGAGGGAAAGGAAGCCTGGGGATGGATGGATGGCTTTAAATAGACACGCGCTCGCCAGCCGCGCCGGCAGTTAAAGAGGCAGCGCGCATGTGGAGGGAAGAAAGGGCGAGGGGCGGTTAGTGTTTCCGGCACGAGGCTGGAGAAATGACGCCGATTGGGAGAGACGTGAGTTGGTGCCGAGCGGGTGGAGGTCAGTGCTTTGCAGCCGAAGTGGGGGGGGGGGGTAGTGGGGGGAGGGGGGGGCGGCTCCCCTAGGCCGAGGGGTGTGGGCGACCAACAGCACAGGACAGGCCCCCCCCCATTTTTGTCTCAGCAGATTGGCCCCTCATTGCACAAATGGCAAAGGGCCAGGGTGAGGAGAAAGGTAGTGGTGGCATCATCATCGGCTGGGGCCCATTGGCTCGGCTGGGAACTGTCAGCCAAATAATTATGATAGGGGGGTGGGGGGGGCGGGAGGGGGTGCAGGGATGCAGTTTTGAATGAGCCCCAGCGAACTCTTAAAAGAGCAGCCGCCCGCACACCCTGGGCTCCCCACCCACCCTGGACCCTGCCGGGCCTGGCATGCCATGAGCGGATGGGAGAGGGCGGGGGTTTGAAAGGTGGCGGCGGTGTGTGGGGGGGGGGGGGGTTAACGTGAGTGAGATGGAGAGAGGGGGGGGGGGCAACGGACGAGGGATGGCGACTAACTTTGGGGGGCGGCCAGCTCGCCGGGCAGACTGCCTGCAGGAAAACCTGCGAGGAGAAGAAATAAAAAAAATAACGGAGGGGAGGAAGAAAAAAACGGAACAAATAAAGGTATGAAAATAAAACGCACGGAGGAGACAAGCGACAAAGGAACATTTTGAGGGAGACGTAAATTAAAAATAACGGAGAACCGCCGACGGAAATAAAATGACGGCAACTGTAACGGCGCTCGCGGCAGCGATTTCCGCACGGAGAGAGCAGCTGATGCGCTGGGCCCCCCGCAGCGTCAAACACACGGAGAGGAGGCGGCAGCGGCGATGGTGGATAAAGGATGTGGGTGGTGGGGGTGGGCGGGAGAGGGGGGGCGGGGGGGAGGTGGTGGTGGGGGTGGGCGGGGGGGGGGGCGGGGGGTGGAGGTGGTGATGGGGGGGGGGGGCGGCACCTGGAGTCTGGAAGTTGATCCTCCGCATCTCCACGGGGTCCGACGTGTGCAGGGGCGACGTCTCCTTCGCTCCTCCTGGCAGCATCGGCTTCCCCGGGTCCGAGTCACTCCTCTTCCTGTGGTGCCCGGGCAGGGTGGGCGGGTGGGGGGGGCAGCCATCGTAGCGCGTCAATGAAGGAGTTCTGACCCCGCCATGACCCCTGGTTGTTGTTTGACCCCCCCACCCCCCCCCCCCGGTTAGATGTCCTCCACCCCCACTGGGACTGGATGCCAACGCTCAAAATCGGGACGCGCTCGCTGGGATGCAGAGCCAATTTCGCACCTGGATTACTGATTGTTGAGGTTCCCAGAAGTGTTCGTACCTGTTGTCAGCTCGCCCACACTCTCTGGTCGCTCCCACCTGGTTCACGCTAGCTCAGGCTGTTTCGCGTTCACAGCTGGCACAAACTCACGGAGGAAACTACGAATAGTCGGGCATCGTCTGGGGATTTTTTTTCACGGTGGCCGGTGACGGCTGGGTGAGCGATGGCTTCCCGATGTCTTACCTGTCCGGTTTGCTGCGGTTTCCATGACAGCAGAAGAAGGGGACAAGGACACAAACGTTGTTATCCACTGTCGACGACGCTGTCCGAAACTCGCGATTTGCAAGAGCGACACGGGGGAGGAATGAGTCCGCTGACCAGGGATGATCGCTACCTCCGTGTGCGCGTGTATGACCCTAATTGAGAACATTTTGATGTTGGTAGAATATCAAAATTGGCAAATTTGGACGCACACGATAGCCTGCTCTTGCGATTGGCTGTCAGGGGTGGCGGGATCTTTAACGTCCACTGCGAGCGAAGCGGACGGCGCGTAGTCTCTTCACGGTTAACGCCCGCCACAACATTAACCAGGGTGGCCGCTGGATTCCAACAGTGAACCTTCGTAACAGAGGGCGGCGAATGCGCTACCGCCAGGGGCACGCCACCTGCTGCACCACGTGACGTGAAAAAGATGGGCTTGTTGCCGTTGGCAAGCAGCAGCACCGTGTGATGGATGGTGGCTGGCGACGTGGTGGGTGATGGCGTGTGGTTGGTGTTTTGGCGGGCTATCATAGCGGATATTAAAAATAAATGATCAGACAACGGCGCCCCGCGTCATATCCCATCGGCCGCACGGCCTTCTTGGCAGCACGCATTATATTTTCGGCAGCATCGGTGGGACACGGGCAAAAAACGCCGGAGCGGTTTCCGACAATCGGCGCCTCGCCAGCGGCAAAGCCGGGCTTCGCTTCGAACGGCGCGGGCGAGGGGAAGACGAAGGGACCGCACCTCTTGTAGAGGAGGATCGCTATGACGACGCAGATGATGAAGACGACGGCCAGCACGGGCCCCACCACCCAGAGCAGGCCCTCCTCCTCCTCCGTGATGGGCAGCGGCTCGGGGTCGGGAGACACGACGGGGTCCGAGTAGGGGCTCGCCACGAACATCCGCTAAACGCGCGCAGAGACGGAGAGAGAGAGGTACGACGCAACTGGGTCATTCACTCAACGCGCGGATTCACGGATCATCCTGGCCGGGTCGGCTCAGGGGTTAAAGATGCTCAGCCGGCACACGCTCATTATCCTGGCTCCGATTGCAGCATCATCATCGTCGTCATCTTCTTGATTTTCGTATTCTTCTTCGCTTAATATTCACACCTTTCCTGCCATGCCAGACGTGGCGACGCGCCATGTGGCAGCAGATCCCGCCAGCGCAGATACCCAGTTGGGTATCCGCCTGCCAGCAAGGAGCGGCGTTGCTGTGGCTGTTTTACCGACTTAGCCATTTGCGAGTAACTCGTTAACTTTGGCGAACGTGGACCGCGACGCTGGGAAACACTTGGCCTACTCGTTCTCAAATAACCGGACGGAGATCTTGAACGTCGATTGCAGAGCAGACAGAGCGTATTTCAAAACGATGAAATGTGTTTATTTATTTACCAGGTAAAGCCCACTTATTCAGAATAAACCTGGCTACAAATGGTAGCTCAAGGAAGTGGCATATGTGGAAATTTATAGCAGCCAAATACTTTTAATGCATATTTCTTAAATGTGGAGGGAAAAACCAGAGGACCTGGAGAAATATTCCACACGACCACAGGGAGATATGCAAACTCCAAATATGCAGGCGTCAGGGTCGGGATTGAATCCACGACCTCCTGCATACCAGTCGAGGGAGTTAACATCTCGCCACCATGGCCAGATAACCTGTGACCCAGGAAGCTTGCGTTCCGGCTGACCCGAGACCCAGTCGACCTCTGAACCATGTGACCTACGATCTGGGTGACCTGCGACCCGAGCGAGACGCACGGCTCGGAGCAGCATTAACCGGGGCGGCCGTTGGGCTCGCACCGGCAGGAAGTTGGAGGTGGGGGGGTGTGCGGCACGGGAGTGGCGCTGGCGGTACTCACGCTGCCCGCATCGTGTGGCTCCAGCTCGTAGAGCACGAAGAAGACGTAGTCCTGCCCGGCGGAGAGGCGGCGGTTCACGTGCCCGCCGTACTCCAGCCCGTCGCCCAGCGTGAAGTCGGCGGGGAGCCGCCCCCCCGGGAAGCGGGCCGCCACGTACGGCCGCGGCCCCTCGACGTCCCGGGCCGCGCGCGCCACGGGCCCGTGCCGCCTCCGTCTCCTCCTCCTCCGCTGCTGGCTGCCGCCGTCCACGATCTGCGGCGGGAGCGCGGTTTGTGGGGAGGGGTAGAGGCGAGCTGCTCGTTGTCGCCGTTTTTGGCCGGATTTTTTTTAGAGCGGGGCGCGGCGGGTCGCGGTGAATTGAATTGGCGATGAGTCGTCGCGATTCGGGGGGGGGGCAGCGGGAGGGGGGGGGGGGGTGGAGGGGGGGGGGTTGGGTCACCTCGTCGAGGTCCAGATCGTCGGGAATCTCGGCCGGTTTCATGAAGCTGGCCCTTGTGTCTTTTCAGCGGTACGACCACCACGTAGTACGCTCTGCGACACACAAACGACACGCAGACGACGTGCAGGCGACGCGCGGTCCGTTTTATGGTTTCGTACGCAGAACGGGAGAGATGGGCAGTCAGGGTGTGACGATTAACATGGGTTCTTCCGGGTCTAACGATGCATCGATCAATATCACAGATTTTTCTAATGCTTTGTAGCATCTGTCTGTCTGTAACGGGGGGGGGGGGGGGGGGGAAGGTCACGATAACTCTCGAAACGATGATCCGATGCCTGTGGCACCCTCGTGAAAAGTTGTGGCCTGAATCGGGCAGGGATCGGCAGCGCCGGGCAGGGCTCCCCTCACCTCAAGCTGACCTCCTCCGGTGGGTCCGGCAGCTCGGTGGGCAGCGTGCCGTCGGGCCGCACACGGCCCAGCGCCAGCGGCTTTCCCTGGGGGAGGTCGGGCGCCGTGCGCACCCCCACCTCCTGCTGGAGCCCCCCGGCGCCGTCGCCGCGGCTCGCCAGCCCAAAGTAGTACTCGGTGTTGGGCAGCAGGCCGGTGATGCGCTTGCGAGTCGCCCAGCCGTCCACCTCGATCTGCTGCCCGTTGTTCACCACGATCTGCCGTGGGCGGGGTGACGAGGAGGGTGGCATGCATGGGAACATGAGCCTCGAAACAAGTGGTGGAAATTCCAGATTCTTAAAAATATTCTATTTTTTCCAGGTAAGGCCGAATGTAGCTATTCTTTAGAAGTGATCTGGCCACAAATGATAGCCCAACGAAGTGGCTTATCACGTGGAAATTTATAGCAACGAAATACTCTAAACGCGTGATGTTGATTCTAAATGTGGAGGGAAAATCCGGAGGACCCAGAGAAAAATCCGAGCGACCACGGGGAGATAGATAGACGCAAACTCCAAATACACAGCAGCAGGTGTCAGGGCCGGGATCGAACCCACCGCCTCCTGCATACCAGGCGAGGGAGTTAACATCTCGCCACCACTGTGCGGGTCGCATAATTTTCGACGGGCTAGCCACGAAGTGGTGCGTTGGTCTATCCGTCCATCCTGGGGGTGAGGGGGGGGGGAGGGACGGAGCGAAGCGGACGGCGCTCCGAGAGTTGCACGTCCAGCCAGTGTGCCGGATCCACATGAACTCGTGACAACCGCAGAACCGTGAGGGAAGGTGATGACTTGGGGGGGGTGGGGGGGGGAAGCCTTCAACCAGCGGACGGATTGAACACGGCCGATGACAGAGGGATGACGAGCGGGAGATCAGGGTTATGGGCAAGTGTTGAGATATGCGTTGTTTATTTTTATTTGATGCTGTTCGGGCGTTCGAGTCGAGGATGAGAGCAGGGGGTGGGTTTGGGATAGGGCCAGAGTTAGACTTAAGGACTAGGACTAGGTTTAAGGGTTAGTTAGGGTTGGAGATGAAGGTTAAGGCTAGTTCTAGAGTCAGGGTTCAGGGTTAGAGAGAGAGCGAAAAATAGGTTGAAGGTTGTGCTGAGATATCTGGCTTTTTAAGCTCTCGGCTAAGTATCACTATCACCATTGCTAATTATTTTCTGTCAGAACAAAAACGATGACACCCAAGGAGGTGTTGATTAAATGGCAGGACAATTATATTTGGCTGTCTGCCACCACTATCACCACCACCACCAATATCATCACAACCACCACCACCGACACCCCCATAGTTACTGTCATCACCACCACCGCCAACACCCACCATTCGCGGCTAAGTGACAGGGATGCCACCACGGCGCCTGTGCCAGGCCAGGTGCACTTTGAGGCCACGTGAAGTGTCGAAGGCTCGCTGACAGGAGGTCACGGGGCAGACCCAGGTAGTGCCACGGGTTGACCGAATGAGATGACTGGCGGACGCACCACCTGTGCTCCCCACTGTGCCAGGCTAGGTGCAGGAGGGGGTCACGGTACAGACCCAGGTAGTGCCATGGGTTGACCGACTGAGATTACTGGCGGACGCACCTCCTGTGCTCCCCACTGTGCCAGGCTAGGTGCAGGAGGAGGTCACGGGAGAGACCCAGGTAGTGCCATGGGTTGACCGACTGAGATTACTGGCAGATGCACCACCTGTGCTCCCCACTACCACTGTCACCACCACCACTGTCACAACCACCACCACTGTCACAACCACCACCACTGTCACAACCACCACCACTGTCACCACCACCACTGTGACAACCACCACCACTGTCACCACCACCACTGTCACCACCAACACCACTGTCACCACCACCACCACTGTCACCACCAACACCACTGTCACCACCAACACCACTGTCACCACCACCACTGTCACAACCACCACCACTGTCACCACCACCACTGTCACCACCACCACCACTGTCACCACCACCACTGTCACCACCAACCCCACTGTCACCACCAACACCACTGTCACCACCAACACCACTGTCACCACCAACACCACTGTCACAACCACCACCACTGTCACCACCACCACTGTCACCACCAACACCACTGTCACCACCACCACCACTGTCACCAACCCCACTGTCACCACCACCACCACTGTCACCACCAACACCACTGTCACCACCAACACCACTGTCACCACCACCACCACTGTCACCACCAACACCACTGTCACCACCAACACCACTGTCACCACCAACACCACTGTCACCACCACCACCACTGTCACCACCAACACCACTGTCACCACCACCACTGTCACCACCAACACCACTGTCACCACCAACACCACTGTCACAACCACCACCACTGTCACCACCAACATTGTCACAACCACCACCACTGTCACCACCAACACTGTCACAACCACCACCACTGTCACCACCAAAACTGTCACAACCACCACCACTGTCACCACCAACATTGTCACAACCACCACCACTGTCACCACCAAAACTGTCACAACCACCACCACTGTCACCACCAAAACTGTCACAACCACCACCACTGTCACAACCACCACCACTGTCACCACCAACATTGTCACAACCACCACCACTGTCACAACCACCACCACTGTCACCACCAACACTGTCACAACCACCAACATTGTCACAACCACCACCACTGTCACCACCAAAACTGTCACAACCACCACCACTGTCACCACCACCACCACTGTCACCACCAACATTGTCACAACCACCACCACTGTCACCACCAACCCCACTGTCACCACCAACCCCACTGTCACCACCAACACCAGTCACCACCAACACCACTGTCACAACCACCACCACTGTCACCACCACCACTGTCACCACCAACCCCACTGTCACCACCAACCCCACTGTCACCACCAACCCCACTGTCACCACCAACCCCACTGTCACCACCAACCCCACTGTCACCACCAACCCCACTGTCACCACCAACCCACTGTCACCACCAACCACCCACTGTCACCACCAACACCAGTCACCACCAACACCACTGTCACAACCACCACCACTGTCACCACCACCACTGTCACCACCAACCCCACTGTCACCACCAACCCCACTGTCACCACCACCACTGTCACCACCACCACCACTGTCACCACCACCCCACTGTCACCACCAACCCCACTGTCACCACCACCACCACTGTCACCACCAACCCCACTGTCACCACCAACCCCACTGTCACCACCACCACCACTGTCACCACCAACCCCACTGTCACCACCAACCCCACTGTCACCACCAACCCCACTGTCACCACCACCACCACTGTCACCACCAACCCCACTGTCACCACCAACCCCACTGTCACAACCACCCACTGTCACAACCACCACCACTGTCACAACCACCACCACTGTCACCACCACCACCACCACCACTGTCACCACACCACCACCACTGTCACCACCACCACCACCACCACTGTCACAACCACCACCACTGTCACAACCACCACCACTGTCACCACCACCACTGTCACCACCAACCCCACTGTCACACCACCACTGTCACCACCAACACCCACTGTCACCACCACCACTGTCACCACCAACCCCCCACTGTCACCACCACCACTGGTCACCACCAACCCCACTGTCACCACCAACCACCACTGTCACCACCACCCACTGTCACCACCAACCCCACTGTCACCACCACCACTGTCACCACCAACCCCACTGTCACACCACACCACTGTCACCAACACCACTGTCACCACCAACCCACTGTCACCCACCCCACTGTCACCACCAACCCCACTGTCCCACCACCCCACTGTCACCACCCAACCCCACTGTCACACCACCACTGTCACACCAACCCCACTGTCACTCACCCACCACCACTGTCACCACCACCCACTGTCACCACCAACCCCACTGTCACACACCACTGTCACCACCACCACCCACTGTCACACCACCCCCACTGTCACCACCACCACGTCACCACCAACCCCACTGTCACCACCACCACGTCACCACCACCCACTGTCACCACCACCACTGTCACCACCAACCACCACTGTCACCACCAACACTGTCACAACCACACCCACTGTCACCACCACCACTGTCACCACCAACCCCACTGTCACCACCACACTGTCACCACACTGTCACCACCACCACCACTGTCACCACCAACCCCACTGTCACCACCAACCCCACTGTCACCACCAACCCCACTGTCACCACCAACCCCACTGTCACCACCAACCCCACTGTCACCACCAACCCCACTGTCACCACCAACCCCACTGTCACCACCACCACCACTGTCACCACCAACCCCACTGTCACCACCAACCCCACTGTCACCACCACCACCACTGTCACCACCAACCCCACTGTCACCACCAACCCCACTGTCACCACCACCACCACTGTCACCACCAACCCCACTGTCACCACCAACCCCACTGTCACCACCACCACCACTGTCACCACCAACCCCACTGTCACCACCACCACCACTGTCACCACCACCACCACTGTCACCACCACCACCACTGTCACCACCAACCCCACCGCCCATATCGGTGGCGTGGCGCCGGTGACGCCGTGCACACTTAACCTCCGACCTTTAGGGGTGTAGGAGCGGCCGCTGTGATTGTGTTTCCCGTGCCCCCCCCCCCCACCCCTGCTAATGTCTACAGACAAGACGTGTCTCGGCGCTTGCTCTTGCGCCCGATCGAAGGCCAACCTCATGCCAGGGATTAATTGCTCGCCGAACATGTTCCGGCTCACTGTTCGACTGGAGCAGTTGGCACGTGACGTGTAGCCACAGCCATAGCGAGATGTATGATGGAGGTGGTGTGCCGCATTTAGACGCGACATGAATCCAAAATGGATCAACCTGTATTGAGGTTTAATATACCAAACGGCCCAGCCAAAGCACGCAAGTGTGTTTCTACATTTAACTTAGATATTTAACCGACTGTGCCTGCAGCATTCCTGATATGCCTACAACCCTATTCGCTCACTCACTCGTCTCCCTATCTACTCACCCACCGACAAACTCATTCAGCCACTCACTTAACCAACCACCCACTGACTCCCTCACCCACTCGGCCACTCGCCCACTAACTCATCCGACTGTTGCCAACAGCATTTCTCACACGACAGTTAGAAGAGGGAGTTCCAAATGCGAGGAGCACAGCAACTAAAGGCCCACGCCCCGCGATTGCAAACGACTTCCGGGAACCGCCAGGAAGTTCTCCTGCAGCTGATCTCAAGGCGCGACTGGAGGCACCCAGTGCCAACAGTTGATCTACGGTCGTGGAAGAGTAGGCCAAAACACACTGCGAAGCTCCACTTAAGTAAAGGCACCTCTGCCAGCAGCAGCGCGAGCAAATATCAGCGCTGTGCACACTTGCCAAAATTTGGACCGTAACAGTAGCACACACACGTGGCCTCCACTTTATTGAAGCGGGATGGGAGGGCAGGCAGGCGGGCGCCACGTTACATCCATTGCAGCCGCAGTATTAACCAGGGCGGGGGGGGGGGACACTGGGCTCGAACCTGCAAACCCGAGTGGCTGACGCTCCTAACGCTCGTGTCATCGTCTCTCCCCGACAGTGCCCGGCCGGCCCCGTCTCTCCGTGAGCTGCACCCAGGCCAACACGGCGCTGGTGCAGTGGCGGCAGATCATGGTGAATCAGGCTGAAGGCAGCCCGGGCTATGAGGAAAAGGTCAAATTTGGCCGAATGAGTCCTTCCTTTGTGAAGAATGTCGCTGGCTTTGTTATCCGGGCGGGGGGTGGGGGGGCAGACAAAAGTGATTGACCCCCCCCCCCAAGGTAGAAACACGCACGGGGGGGAGGGGGGGGGGCCTGCGTGGTGAGATATGCTCGCCGTGGGAACGGCACGGCCCCGAGCGGGGAGCTGAGACGGGGGGGGGGGGGTGGTGGGGGGGGAGAGATGTGCAGAAGCGATAAGGCGGGGAAAGCGATGCGGAGCTTGAACCGCTGAGCGAGAGACGCAAGCGCACGGGCGGTTGAGATGCAGGAGGTATCGCAGGCGGAGAGAGAGAGAGAAGAGACAGAGAAGGAGCGAGCAGAGCAGTGGCAGCCCTGTGTCTAAAACACGTGGGCGGGAGCACAACGCGCCAGATGGTGGAGCGAGCGCGGCACCAACCCTGCGCCGCTCCCTTTCCAGCGCTGCCGTGCGAGCGCTCGACCGGGGCGTGGCGGTCGCACCGGCGGTGTTGACCATGTGGGAGTGCACGCTGGGCGGGGTGTCGTTAACCCCCCCTGGTAGTGCCCTCGTGGTATTGCCCCATTGGTAGTACCCCCTTGGTCGTGTTCCTGTGAAAGTGCCCCCTGGTAGTACCCCCCTTGGTATTGCCCCTTCGGTAGTGCCCCCCCCCCCCACCCCACCTTGAAGGGCTGCTGGGGGCTGTAGGAGTCCGGCAGCTCCCAGGTGAGCAAGGCTGACGAGCGGCTCACCGACTTCACCCCAAAGTTCTTCACGAAAGCTGCTGGAGGCAAAAAGGCACAGGGCGGAGGAGGGGAGAGGGCGAGGAGGAGGAGGAGGAGAGACAAAGGTGGTGCGGCGGGGCAGGGAGGGGAGAACAACGGGGCCCAGGTGAGAAGCTCGTCAACCGATTTGCTCGTTGATCAGATGATCGGATGGCAACCGTGGGAGAGGAGATGGAACCGTCCCTCCCGAGCACAATCCGAGACGCGCACGCTCCCGCGATCGCGACGGGGAGTGATCGCAGCACGGCCTCTCACTCCGATCGGCAACGAACGCACTGCCGCGTCCGTCGCACCGAAAACAATCGACACCCTCTCGCGATTGAATTCCGGATCAGATTCAATCGCGCGTCGAGCAGGCGGCACCGCCGCACACTTGCTCGCTTGTTCGCTCACCACTGTTCGCACGGCCGTGAGTTCACGGCCATGCGAACAAAAAGCCCTAAACGTCCGTGGGTTTGCCATCGGCCACCGGCAGTGACCCCAACCACAGCTTTGCAGCTCCGTTGCAGAGCGCGCTCGCTCGCTCCCTGGCTTGCTGGCTGGCTGGCTGGGTGGTTCGCTCGCTCGCGACGGCCCGAGTCCACCCAACGCCGAGTCCATCCGGCACGGCACAGCGGCAGCATCCAGGGTGGCGGCCACGAACAGTCGGACCTGATCCTGATCATCTCTCGCCGAGAAGAGTTGCTCCTCATCCTGGCAGCGGCTGGAGGCCACGGGACCTGGCTGGCGCCGTGTACCGTGGTACCGGTCGCCTGAAGTGGCGGAGGGTGTGGGTGGGGCGGTGGCGGTGTAGACGCTTCGTCGGCCTTACCCCTGTCGCCGGTGCCCGATGGCGCAATTCGCGCCTGAATGCTGGGGCTGTAGGGCCCGGGGCCCTGCGCCGTGTGTGCTCGCACGCGGATGTCGTAGGTGGCGCCGGCGCGCAGCCCCGCTAGCGCCTGCTCCGTCGTCGCGTCGGCGCCCGCCGCCGGCTCCACCTCTGCAAGCTGCTCGGCGGCGCCGTCGATGTCGCGGCACGACAGCGTGTACCGCGACACGCGCCCGTTGCGTTCGGGGAGCGCCGGCGCCTCCCAGGCCACCTGCACGCCGGTGGCCGTCGCCGCCACCACGCGCAGGCCGCGCGGGAAGCCCGAGGGCGCCGCCTCGGGGGTCACGACCTCGCGCGTGGCCTCCTCGCCGAGCCCGGCGCGGTTGCGCGCCGACAGGCGGAACGAGTAGACGGCACCGCGGTGCAGCTCCGTCACCGTGTAGTGGTCCTCGCGCGTCGAGAAGTCGAGGGAGGTGGGGCGGTCGCCGTCGGCGCGGCCGAACGCGAGGCGGTAGCCGAGCAGCGCGCCGTGGGTCTCCGTGGGCGCCTGCCACTGCACCAGCGCCGTGTTGGCCTGGGTGTAGCTCACGGAGAGACGGGGCCGGCCGGGCACTGTCGGGGAGAGGCGACGACACGAGCGTTAGGAGCGTCAGCCACTCGGGTTTGCGGTTATAGCTCAGTGGTTCCCCCCCCCGCCCCGGTTAATACTGCGGCTGCAATGGATGTAACGTGGATCCCGCCTGCCCACCACGTGTGTGTGCTACCGTTACGGTCCAAACTTTTCCAAGTCTGCGCAGCGCTCATATTTATTTGCTCACGCCACTGCTGGCAGAGGTGCCTCTGCTTATGTGGAGCTTTGGAATGTATTTTGGCCTACTCTTCCACGACCGTCGACCAACTGCGGTGAATAAGAATCTGTATTTATACTGGAGGAATTCGATAAAGCAAATTAAGCTCTTTCTCACGGAATCCATTCCCACTGCTGGCTGCACAGGGGCGGTGGAGTGGGGGATTTAAGAAACTTTTCAATTGCGCCAACGACCGCTGGACTGCAAGTCCGGTGGCGCTGTTATCCATTAAACCGTGGAACCCTTCAGAAAGAGTGAGTGCATGCGTGAGTGTGCGTGAGTATGTGCGTGAGTGCGTGTGTGTGAGAGTGCGTGTGTGAGTATGCGAGTGCGTGCATATGTGAGTGCGTGCGTGAGTGCGTGAGTGCATGTGTGAGTGCATGCGTGTGTGAGTCTGTGAGTGCGTGAGTGTGTGAGTGAGTTTGTGAGTGCGTGCGTGCGTGAGTGCGTGCGTGTGTGAGTACGTGCGTGTGTGAGTCTGTGAGTGCGTGAGTGTGTGAGTGCGTTCGTGAGTGCGTGCGTGCATGTGTGAGTGCGTGTGTGCGTGAGTGCGTGCGTGAGTGCGTGCGTGAATGTGTGCATGTGTATGAGAATGCGTGAGTGTGCACGTGAGTGTGTGCGAGTGCGAGTGCGTGCATACGAAGCTGCGGGCTGGCGACGATTAGGAACTTCCCCTCTGATTTTATTGTCCTCCATTAAACCCATTCGGCCATAAAATCGACAAAAGTTTGCACTTTTTTGTTTTGCCGTCGTTAAAGAGAAAAATTAAAATTTCGGGGATAATAGCAATAACAGAAAGAAAACCGCCACATGCGGCCGCACAGTTGTTTATCTGGCAATCTGTCTCGAGTAATCGTCTCGATAAATAAAAGCCCAGCAGGTGTTCGCCTGGCACTGCCCCCCGTGGGCATCGGCTTCCGTCGGATCAGCCCTGAGCATGAGAGTGGTTGTTGTCCCTCCCCCGCGCCTCCAATTCGCACGGTTGGCTACGTACGGTGCGAAAGAAGTTTAACGTACACCCACATACATCGACTCACACGGAGACCCATAGACTCACACAGAGACCCATAGTTTGTTGTCTTTCCCTCTGATTAGTACAGCTGGCTACTTACCGTGCCAAAGAAGTTCAACATACACACAACAACAATGACCGCCATTCACCACTAAGTGGCGGTGATGTCATCAAGGCCACGTGAAGTGTACACTGGGCAGACCCAGGTGCGATGGGTCGACGGACTGAGATGACTGGCCGATCCACCACCTGTGCCCCCTACTGTGCCAACTTGCTGTATTTTAGCCACCCGGCGCTCCGCTCATTGTACTGAGCGTCGCTCCTCTGCCCTCCATTGTTGCTGGAGGGCGACTGCCTCCAACTGCCAAGTAGCGTCCTTCACGAGCCTCCTCCACAGAGGCCGATCTTGACACTGCTGGAACCGGTCATCGGCAAGTCCACTCAGCTCCACATCCTCTTCTACCACATTACTCCATCTCTTCTCTAGCCCTCTTCCGAGTGAGCAGCAATCACCAGATCATCGGGATACGTAACATGGTTGACCAATAGGAAGCCATCCCTTGACCGCACCCAGGCATTGATCAGCCCTCCCTTTGGTTCTGTACCAGATACTAGGTGGTCGAAATAGATGTTAATTAATGTGGGAGCCAGAGGACATTCCTGTCACACCCCAAGTTGAACAGGGAATGGCTCCAACTCCCGGCCACGTCGTTTTACCCGGGTCTGCTCACCATCATAAAGGTCCTTAATGATTGTGAGCAGAGAGCCATGGATTCCGAAAGCAAAAATAACAACTCAGAGCCCAAGCCTACTGATGGTATCGAACCCGGACCATGGAGCGGGAGAGGCCTTGCCCACCTGCTCCGAGCGTGACGACCAGACGAGGTTTGCTGCGGGCCCCGTCTCCCTTGGCCGTGTATGCCGCCACTGTCACGGAGTACGTCGTTTCGGGGGTCAGGGCTCCGATAATCATCTCCTATGGGCACGGGGGGGGGGGGGGGGCGGGGTGTGGCAGGACATGGGGGCAGCAAGGGTTGGGTTGTACCGTGGGGGGGCGAAGGGGTAGAGAGAGGAGTGAGAGAGAGAGAGGAGACAGCGAGTGTTATACACACTTCCCAATTAAAGTGGCGGGGAGGCAGGGGTGGGCGCTAACTCTCATAAAGACGATGCGAAATGAACGACACTTTAATGTGGAGTGGTGTAGCTACTGGGGAATCACACTGGGGACCACTGCCACGTTGACCAAAGGATTTGCCCAAAACTCGCAGAGACACAAATGTGCTTTGCCTCGGCAGCCACCCGGCAGATTCCACGCTGATGAATTAAATCGTTCCGAGAAGTTGGACACAACCCGCGCTGTGTGGGCTCCCCCACCTTGGCCATCGCATACTGATCAGCGCGGTGATGTATGATCAAACAACCCCCACGACCCGCAATGCGTGGGGAGTCGCTCATGGGCTGGACAATCACGTTGACTTCTCATTGCCAATCTCATTTAAACATAAATATGGGAGGAGGGGGGGGGGTGGTTTATCTGCATGGGGTATGGGAGTGGTGGCGCATTTCTATTCCAGTTGAGTGGTATGCGAACCAGTCCTGGGCCCTCATCGACCGAGCCGCCGAGCAGCGGATTGAGAATGGGCAGTGGGAGGTGCGGTGCGAGGGCTGTGCGGGTGAATCGCGGTGCTCACGTGTTCGGTGGAATCGCTGGCGTCCGCCTGGGTACCGGCCGGCACGTCCGGGCCAAGGAGGGAAGAGAGGAAGGGGAGAGATCAGTGCACGTGGTAAACATCGAGCGCGCGGTAAAACACGTGCGCGTGGCGAGAGCGCGTAGGTGAGCGCAGGTGCGAGGAGTGGGCGAGTGTGCAGGGCCAGCCCTTGTGTGTGTATGCACAGGTGTGCATGCTGACCAGTGCGCGGTTGAGCGCACGTGCGGGGGCTAGAATGCAGACAGTGTAGAGGTTGAGTCGGGGGTAAGAGGACGAGCGAATGTGTGGGTGAGCGTATGAACGAGTGTACAGGCGAGCACGCGGGTGAGCGTGCGAGCGTGCGTGCGAGCGTACAGGTGAGTGCACATGCGCGCGTGTGTGTGCAGAGCGGCCGCTCACCTGCGCGTCGGGCAGCATGACGTCGCGCAGCTGCGTCGCCCCGCGCGGCTCCCCGTTGACGATGCGCACCAGGTGGACGTGGAAGCCGCGGACGGCTCCGTGCTGCCGCCCGGGCGCCGGCGGGCGCCACGACACGCGCAACGCCGTGGCGTTCAGCGGCTCCGACTCCACGCGACGGGGCGGCCCGCTCGGCACTGATCCCCAAGGCGACGACACGGCACAGCTCAAACCGCGTACGTGCGTACGACCGCCCGATCCCATTCACTCGGGTCGCCGCGATACGGCGATGCTAACGGCGAATAGACATCGCACGATGCGAGATCCACGATCATCCGACGTCTAAGAAGGGGTGGCAGTGCCAACACTTTGCCCCTCTGCACGCGACCCACCGATCGGCTAACCCAGGCGCTGGGTGGACAGGCGCAGGGCGATTAAGGAACCGTGCTCGTTGTTTGAACGGCCACACCGGGAGGTGGAATCGAAGCGGTGACCCCAGGATTGCAGGTCCGGTGTGCGAACCGTTCCACTTTGGGTTATTACGTGGCAAGGTCCACAGTGATTGCACCGTGCGCCTTCAGGAAAAATCTTCGTCTCGTGATTATCGGTGCCCGTTCAACTCTCATGAAATATTTTATCGACTGGCAAATTACCTACGCAACGACAAGCGCAACAACAATTATTTTACGGTTTCAAGAAATTGCGCTCGCTCCATCGCCAAGGCAACGCGAGTTTCAGCAGCACTTTTCATCGTCACGGACGATGTTACGATTACCATGGATCGCACATCGTACAACATACCGCAAGGTACCGCCAGCTCGCAGCGACCCGACTAACATTACTATCACGGCCGACGGACCACGGTGGCCGTCCCCCGGGTTTGCCGAAACCGCGCCGCAGTGCAGCCGGATCCGGCAAAAGAGACTTTCTGCCAGGAGAGTTAGAGTCGCCGAGGCGCCGGACCGGAGAGCAAAAGGAAGGTCGCCACCGCGAAGAAGTTGGCGGCGGTGGCGGCAGGCGGCGTGAGCACCGGACACCAGAAAGCGGAGCACAAAAATACAAATAAAGGGGCCTGGCGTTGCGGCGGAGTCAGAATCACAATCTTTTATCTATACAGTAAAACCTTGGATTGCGAGTAACTTGGTCTGCGAGTGTTTTGCAAGACGAGCAAAAATTTTAAAGTAAATATTACTTTGATAAACGAGCGAGGTCTTGCAATACGAGTAGCACGTGTATACGCTTTGTCTGCCGAGCGTCACGTGATCACAACTGATATATGAGTGCTTTGGATTACAAAAACGTTTCCGGAACGAATTATGCTCGCAATCCAAGGTTTTAATGTGTTTACTTCTAGGGCTATGTTCAGGAGGAAAACTCGTACTCAGAGTGCTGTATTAGGTTAGAGGTAATGCTAGCACGAATGGATCATTGGTTCGAGTCACAAATAGATGAAGGGCTGTAACACGTGGTTGGTTGTCTAAGTTGTTTTGGGGCTTTAAGCAGTGGCAGGGCGAGCGGTGGTCGGCTCGTTGGTCAGGGTTCGTACTCGCGGCTGATTGGCGAGTTGGTTAGACCAGGGTAATTACCGGTGTGAGTTCGTCGCTTGGGAGCAGGGCCAGCATTTCGTACATCACAGGATTCGTTAGGTCGAGACATTGTTTGGATAGTTGGTTCGAGTTAGCGGCCGTTTAGGCTCGTCGGTCAGAGTCAGGGGTAGAGCTGGCGCTCGTAAGCCGGTTGGCTAAATCGGATCGAACTCGGACCGGGGGGGGGCTAGCGTGAGCATTTGACCGGCAGGTGCCCTCAGCCCTGACCTCCACCCAAAACGTCTCACTCCTCACCCAGCCCCTCCGCATCGCCACGCATTTCCCTTCCAGTGTTCGCCCCGCTTGCGGCCAGTGCGGTGGTCACGTTGCCGTGCCGGTTAGTCGGGGGGGGGGGGAGGGGGGAAAGAAGGGGGGGGGGGGTCAAGGAGACAGGCAAGACGCCGGCGCTCGCCGGGATGATTCCAGAAAGTCCTCTCGGTTTATTGCTTTTTTTTTCTGGCCCCTGGGCACGGAATCACACTCAGCAGCGAGCGGCGGCCACGGTGATATATATATATATATATCAGCTCTCCAAGAAAACGGCACGTGCTCGGTTGTAATGGATTAGTTTATTATTTAATTCGTTGAAGAGAAGAAGAAGGGAGGAAGAGGAGAGGCGATGAATTACAAAGACAGAGAGACATGGAGAGAGAGAGCGAGAGAAGGGTTGCGGAAGAACGAGGCGACACGCAAAGCGTTTTCAGTGCCCCCTTTATTGGCCGAGCGCGCAGAGGATGCAGCAACCGGCGGTGCAGGTGTGCAGCGCAGTGCAGGTGTGCGGCGCAGTGCAGGTGTGCGGCGCAGTGCAGGCGTGCGGCACAGTGCAGGCGTGCAGCACGCTGGGACACCGACACGGCACCACAGGCAGCACACGTGGTTAGGCAGTACAGGCGGTTGGTTATAGGAAGTACAGGCAGGCAGGCGGGGTTAGGCAGTACAGATGGTTATAGGCAGGCAGGTCGGTATAGGCAGTACAGGTGGTTATATGCAGCACAGGTGGTTTATAGGCAGTATAGGCAATACAGGGCCTTGGTTAACAGGCAATGGGATTGCTCGAGCATCATTAGGGGCGTCCACACTGTTTGTATGTGTGCGCCGAGGCCCAGATTGGAGAATGTGGAGTGGCACGTGGACGGAGCGACGTTGGGGAGAGGAAGAGCGACGAGACTGCATCGAGAAGAGAGACTACGAGAGATGCATTCAGACGACGTACGGGATGGAGATGGGAGGCAGTTTGCATTGGGAAGTGAGATCGGAGGTGCATTCAGCAGAGATACACTGGACATCTGTGAAAACTACTGGACGTCAGTGAAAAAGAGCTTTATAGCTCGTCGGATTCCTCCAGTATATAAATAAATGTTCTGATTGTGAGACTCATCAGGAGGGCAGGTACGAGCATGAGAGGTAGAGAGATGGATCGAGAAGGCGAGGCGAAGAGAGGTCGCAAATTATTCAGAAGAGACGCACGCGCGGGCGAGAGCTGTACGAGATAAACGGGAGAGATGTAATCGGAAGAGACGGAGAGATGCGTGGATGGAGCTGGTGGGAAGAGTGCCTAATGCCACTCCACTGCAGGCCACGGAAAGGGAGGGGGGGACGGTGGCCTGCATTATGCGATTACAACACCGACATACCCAAGCCCACGTGGTTGGACGGCGGGCCGTGTGAAACAAAATTCGAGTTCGCTAATTTAACTTCAAAGCCGCAGCGAGCCGCCTTTCACGGCTAAATGTGAGCGACGCCGAGGGCCAGATTAAGTGAGCTCATGGGCCGGATTTTGGGGGCCATTCCGCGCAAGTTTGGACAGCGCAGCCTCCCCCGGGGGTTAGTGGAGACTTGACTGTCACGGACTGTTCGGTTATCCAAGGGGGGGCGGGGGGGGGGGCTTAAGAGAAGCAACACGATGACGCGCAACGCAAGTGAGCAGAATCAGGGACCCCGGCCACTGTTTTGTTAAGGAGAACACGGAGACGCTGTTGTTAAGGAGGATACGGAGACTTTGTTGTTAAGGAGGACACTGAGACTGTGTTGTTAAGGAGGACACTGAGACTGTGTTGTTAAGGAGACTGTGTTGTTAAGGAGGACACTGAGACTTTGTTGTTAAGGAGGACATGGGGATTTTGTTGTTAATGAGGACACGGAAACTTTGTTGTTAAGGAGGACACGGAGACTCTGTTGTTAAGGAGGACACGGAGACTTTGTTGTTAAGGACACGGAAACTCTGTTGTTAAGGAGGACATGGGGATTTTGTTGTTAAGGAGGACACGGAGACTCTGTTGTTAAGGAGGACACGGAAGACTTTGTTGTTAAGGAGGACACGGAGACTTTGTTGTTAAGGAGGACACGGAGACTTTGTTGTTAAGGAGGACACGGAGACTTTGTTGTTAAGGAGGACACGGAGACTTTGTTGTTAAGGAGGACACAGAGACTGTGTTCTTAAGGAGGACACGGAAACTTTGTTCTTAAGGAGGACACTGAGACTGTGTTGTTAAGGAGGATACTGAGACTGTGTTGTTAAGGAGGACTCTGAGACTGTGTTGTTAAGGAGGACTCTGAGACTGTGTTGTTAAGGAGGACACGGAGACTGTGTTGTTAAGGAGGACACGGAGACTTTGTTGTTAAGGAGGACTCTGAGACTGTGTTGTTAAGGAGGACTCTGAGACTGTGTTGTTAAGGAGGACTCTGAGACTGTGTTGTTAAGGAGGACACGGAGACTTTGTTGTTAAGGAGGACACGGAGACTCTGTTGTTAAGGAGGATACGGGTGGCTCAAGGTAAACTCTGGTAACCCCCCCCCCCCCAACCACTCAAACCCAATTATCGGTGTGGCATTTGTTGCCACACCGATAGTTTGTGGTTCGATTCCAAGCAGTCGCCCTGGTGAATACTGCGGTGTGAATTAACTGCAAAAATACTACTCCTGTGTTACTCGCCGTCTGCCTCACTGCGGACGTTAAATATCCCACGGTGTCATTCGCAAGAGTAGGCCATTCTGTGCCGGAGGAACGGTCAAATCTACTTGAAAAATGACTCAATTGAGATTAAGCATAGCAATCATTGCACCATCCCCCCCCGCGCTCCCCCTCCCTCTCCTCCACTGCACTAAAAGACTTGGCAGGACCCGTCGTGGCGAAGATTTCTTCTCGCCAATTAATAGATTACGGAGCGGGGCAATCGGTGCGCGCAATCAATTCCATTCATTTAGACCCGGGGGGGGTCGGCAAGCATAACAACAGGAGATTTTTTTTTTTGCGAATTCGGAACAACAAAAAACAAAAACTCAATGAATAACGCCACGAAGGAGTTCCTGAAATGAGCCACCCGTGTGCGGCTCTGGAGCCGTAGGTTTTTGCTGACCCCCGATTTCGACGATCCCTCGAGAGAGCGAGCGAGCGCACAGCCCGCAGAGTGCGCCGGCGTGGCCACACGTGCCGCCCTTGCACGGGCTCTGCCAAGGGACAACCTCTCTCTTGCTTGCGGGACATTAGAACAATATATATAAATAATAATCCATGTCTTAAATCACTAAAAAAACATATTTTGGTCAGTCCAATTTTTTTTTATTCCAGCCACCCGTCAAAGACGGTGTTCCTCCCGCCGCCACCTGTGGTTAGGGGAGCTGCTTGTTGTTGTTGTTGTTTAGTTTGTTGTCCTTCCCCCCGCACCTCCGATTAGCACGTTTGGCTACGTACGGTGCGAAAGAAGTGCAACGTACACACACACACAGAGCGCGAGACCGGGAAGCTTGTCAGGTAATAAGACTGTGTCACCGTGAGTGAAAGCCGACTGAGAAGGAGGAGGTTAATAAACAGGTGGTTAATAAAGACAAAGATAACATTCTGGCAGAAAGGCGACCGCTCAACCACCCCCCTCCCCTAACAATGCTTACATTTCTGCAGTGGTTGCAGGGGCCGCTTTCTAATTCCCGGGGCGATGTTTAGGAGACTACGACTATGGACCCCCGGGCGTGCGCACAACGAGTGATTGCAATCATCTCCCGGATTGCAATCCGACGCGGCGCGATGAAATAACACGGAGTGCAATAAACAAACAAATAAACGCGTCTGATAACGGAAGCGATGGATGGTGGCGATGGCGATGTTGGGGATGGTGGTGACGACGATGTGGAGATGGTGGCGATGGTGGTGGATGCGAGGGAGGTCACCGTGGTAATGGTGGAGATGGTTTACGAGGTGGTGTTCGATGCTGGCGATGGTGGAATCGGTGGTGATAGGGGGAGATGGTGACTGTAGTGATGGAGGTAATTCGTGTGACCACAGCGGTGATGGTGGTAGTGGATATGAGAAGGACAAACCATTGTGATGGTGGTGATAGAAGTGATCACAGTCGTGGTGGTGCAGATGATGGTGGTGATGGAGACCATGATGGTAATGGTTTTGGAGGCGATGGAGATGACGTTGGTCATGCCGATGGTGGTCACGGTGATGGGGAGGAGATCATGGCGACGATCGTGGTGATCGTGGTGATAGTCGCCACGGTAATGGCAGCGATGACTGCGGTGCTAGGAGTCATGACCCTTTGCGCTCCATACCATCCTCATCCGTCCTCACGGTGCAGGCCCGGCTCTCTGGCCCGGCCCCCACGGCGGTGTAGGCCACCACCGTCACGCGGTACTCGGTCCACTTCTGCAGGCCCTGCAGGGTCCACAGGAGCTCGCCGCGGGCGGCCGCTTCGCCCGCGGCCGCCCCCATCTCGACGGCCTCCTCTCGCGTCGCGCCGTCCTGGCCCTGCCCGTCGGGCAGCGCCCGGTAGCGCACGGCGTAGCCCACGATGGGGCCGTTGTGGGCGTGCGCCGGCGGCGGTTGCCAGGAGACGAGCAGCGAGGTGGAACCCGGGCTCGAGCAGGAGACTTCTTGGGGGGCGGCCGACGGGGCTGGCGACGTGCGGCCGAGGTTCGTTCGTTCGAGGCGGAGGGAGGACGCGAGACGTGGAAGGAGGATGAGGGATGAGCAGGGGATGGGGATGGCAATGGATAGAGGGCGGGAGGGGGGGGGGGGGCGGCATGGGATGTCAGACGATGGATATAACGGAGCGTGGGATGCGCAAATCATATCTAGCGTTGAAGCCGCGTGACTCCGTGGTGGGGGGACGCCACAGCGGCTACACCGCCGCAGCCGCGTGGTAATTAGCGCGGCGTGTCGCTTTAATTGCCGTGGAATCGCTTCAGGAAGCGCGCGGCAGGCCCCGCGCCGACGGCGGGCGCCCCGCCGGGACGGCAATTGGCGGCGGAGTGGCCGCGGCGGCGCGGACCCGTTGCCCGTGCCATCGCGGCCGGATTAGTTGGCGTCTCAATCCTCGATCCGCGGGGGCTGCGCGGGCGACCCCCTCCCCCCACCCCTCCGCCTACCACCCCTGAGGCGGGGAGAATCGCGGTAGCGATGGCCGCGGGGGGGACTGCGGGGGCGACGCGGCGCGAGTGTGCGGTGGCACGAAACAAAGGGAGATGTAATTAAACCGCGGTGTCTAGGCCGCGGCCATTGTCTGTGCGCCACGGGAAGCCTGGTGCGATTCGGAGCGGTGCGATAACGCGCGGCCCGCGGTGCTGAGCAATCAACTCCGGGAGCGGAGGCGGCCTTCCCCCGCCCCATCCCCCCGTTCCCCGCCCCCCTCAACCCCCCCACCCCCCCAACTCGCTCGTTAATCCCCGATGCCGAGCAGCCGGCGTCGACCACCGCAGCCCTCTTCCTCCTCCTCCGCCTCGGCCCCCCGCGAGCGAAGGGGGAGCAGAGCAGCATGGCGAGCTGGGTCACAGGTCACTCTCCTGCGGGACGGTGGTCGCCCTCCCCTCCTCTCGTTAACTTACCCGTCCTGGCTGCCCTCGGGCTGGCCGCCGGCTGTTGCCGCCGCCGACGCAACAGGTGAACCGGAACCACCCCACACCCACTCACCGGGGGTAGTCCCAGCCTTGCTCTCACCCGGCCGCCACCCGCCATCGAGGGTGTGTGAAACCGACCGGAATGCCGAATACGCGCCGTCGAATAGCGAGGTAAACGTAAAAAAACGCGCCCAATATATATTTTTTATCTCTCATCCTAACGCTCCCGCTCTTCAAAAGGAAAAGAAAAATCTAACAGAGGTGTAAAGCGGCGGCCTACGCGTCCGAACGATGTGCTGCCCCCCCCCCCCATACCCGGCACGGCCAATCGACCTTGGCCTACAGCCGCACAGCGCCGGGCACGGGGAGGACGGCGACCGCGACCGCCACTGCTGCTGCCGAGCAGCGCGGTCGCCCAGGGAGACGAGAGGGATTTACTTGGCTTTTGTTTTCTGCGAAGAGCAGCGACGGAGTCGGGAAGGGGAGTGAGTGAGGGAGGGAGGGAGTGAGGGAGGAGGCGGCTAGGGCAAGGGGTGGTGGGGGGGGGAACATTTTCCTGGATAGGGCTTTCAAAATCCCATTGGCAGCGGGCCACCACATTAACGCAGGCATTATATAATAATAACATCAATGTGAGAATTAATGAGGCTTCACCACCTTTATGTGAGTGCAACGCGAAAAGTTCGAAAGAAAGTGTCGTGGCCACGTTGAAAATATTGCATTCTGGCGTCCGATTCGTGGAGCTGAGATCGCGCTCCAGATTCAAGGCTGCTGCGCACTTTCAACCCTTTGTCCGAGTTCCGATTTCAAGAGAGAGATATTCCTTCGCCATTTCATTTTTATCCCCCCCCCCCTCGAAAAAAATGTTCGCAAGCATGATTTGATCGGCTATGAAAATCCCGTATGCGGTAAGGAAGGGGTCAAACCGTCGCAAGCGTGAACGCTTATATCGGCGGCATTGCCGTGACGGATGAACATCGCTTGCTGGTGGGGCCTCGTGGTGGCACAGGTCGTATGGAATTAAGTAGCCAGTCGTATGTGGCCCGTGTCGCTGTGAGGGCTCCCCACTCCACGAGGGAGCCAGGGGAGACCCTGGGGAGACCCATGCCAGATCTAAGGGGATACGTGACAGCAAACTAAGTTCATGGGAAAGGAGCGGCGGGGGGGGGGGGGGGGGGGGGAGCAGGGGGGGGCGGTGAGGGAGGATTTGAGGGCTGCGTGAGACACGGCGGGGGCAGGACCTACTTGAGGGCAGCGTCTGGGCGGTGACGATGGAGGTGGCTGCCCCCAGGCCGTGGTCCGAGCGTGCCGCCAAGCGGAACTGGTAGAGCGTGTTGGGCCGCAGCCCCTCCAGCAGGTACGTCATGCTGGGTTCAAAGGTCACGACCTGCTGCTTGTTCGACGCACGCCGACGATGATCCGGCGACGATTCAGTCGGGAGGAGGCAGATCGTAAAGGTGGGGGTGCGGGGGGGGGGGCGATAAGACAGGGCAGTCACGTACAAGTAGAAATGTCCGGAGCATTTCCCGCCACGTTTTCCTGATAACTTAGAGACGTTGGATAACTGATCCTCGCAGCGGCTTTGGCTCGCCATCGATTAAAAGACGGTCGATGCATCGCGCACTTTCAGATGCGCTTCTGCGGCCATCTGGAACGCTCTTCCTTCCGATTTGACGAAGCCACTGGAGCTACGCACTTTTATGATGCTCGTGAAAGAAGCCACTTGGCCGAGTCGACACAGACGCACACTCGCGGCGGGGGGGGGGGGGGGGGGGGGTGCAGGGGAAGGGGGGAGGACCCACCTCCTTGCTGAGTGGGCCGTCCCGGTAAAGTAGCTCGTACTTGATGATGGAGTCCTGCCGCGGGGGGATCCACGACAGCAGGACGCTGGTGGCCGACTCGGCCTCCGCCTTCAGGTTAATCGGCTGGCTCGGCACTAACGGTGAGGACGGCGAGGAGATGACCATGACGACGATGATGACGCACGTCAGTACACCACGTAAACACGCACACGCGCGCACGATGGCGCACGGAGATTCATATTTTGGTGGGGGGAATTGTTTCGCTAGCAAAAGTTAGAAATAGTTATGCCCAAATTGTGCTTGCAACGCGTAGGTTCGTAATTATTAGGGATAAGTGTGAGATCACATTCTTTGAGGTGTTATGTTTTCCTATTTTTAAGGCCCAATTTCAGACTTCATATGATTTCTGGATAAGAATTATGACGTTCATTGTTACTGCACTAACGACTTTACAAATTTTTTTTACATTTATAAATTTACTCGATTTGATTTACAAAATCGTTCCAACAATGACATGGTAAGTGTCATGTAAACGTGTTAATGTTGTAATAATCAAAGCAAAATTTTCGTCACGTCACATTAATGAAGAGACATCACTTCTTGTGAAGTGAAACTTTCAGATCAGGCCAAAACAGACACTCAAATAGTTTTCATTTAATCTTGGCCCGATTTAAACATTTTTTACTTAATTTGAAAATCCGGAACATATGTCTCCTATAGACTGAAAGTTTAAACTAAATGCACGAATACATAAACCTCGTACGGATTTCGGTAAACACAGGGGCTGGATGGCACAAACCTTTTTATCCAGGCCCTACAAATTCGCATTGAGCGGTTTTCCACCATAATTCAAAGTCACTCATCATATCTGAGCACACAATTGACCGCGTTATAATTTGCAAAGCTTTCATTACCCTAATATTAACGGTGTCTGAATTGAAAAGGGCGTCAATAATCATTCATTATTCATTTTACAATTTCACGTTTTAGAAAAATCTCATAAATGGCCCACGACATAAGTTGGGGGATGTATGGATGGCGCCCTCCTACCCCCCACCCTCCCTCCCCTCCCAATAAATCGGCCGTACTGATTGATCGTGGAATTTATAAAACATAGCAGGGGAAGGGGGGGGCTCACGGAGGTGCGATGCGTTAGCCAATCGCGCGAGGAGCGGGTGGGCGGCCATCGATAACGTCGATCGTCAAGCCAGGTCACACGGGGTCATTGTGAATTCACACTATGTCATGTGACTTACTAACGGGCCCCCCCCTCAAGCTCCCCCCCCCCGCTACCCACCCCCCGCCCCACCACCCCTTGATCAATGCGGCACCGCCGCAGACTTTGTGCGAGCGAGGTCGCGTTGAGGAACGGAAAATAATGTCCGTCCCGCGGAATGCACAAACGGACGTGTTGCACCTGCAGCAGAAGGGTCAAGCAACATGAAGGGGATGATGAGGTGGAGGATGAGCAGAGGAGGGGAGAGAGGGGAGGACGAACGACCAGGAGGAGGAGAAGGAAAGGCTGGAGATGTTGGAGGAGGAAGAGCAGAGCAGCAGAGGAGTTTGGGAAAGAGCAGAGGAGGGAGGAAGGGGAAGGAGGAGGGAGGAGGAAAGAGTGAGAGAGGGAGTGGGACAAGGGAGGAGGGAATAGGGGAAGGAGCGAGCGTGCAAAGAGCGAGCGAGTGAGCGAGCGAGGGAGAGACATGGAGGACCCTCACCTCCCTGCTGCGTCTTGACGTGCAGCTCCGGTGAGTGCGGCCCGTCGCCCACGGACGTGAACGCGAGCACGCGCACCGTGTAGTCGGCTTGCGGCGTGAGGCTGCCGATGGTGGTGAGCAGGCTGTCCTCCAGGTTGTGCTTGAGCCACGCGCTCACGGGCTGTCCGCGCTCCGTCGTGTAGTAGACACGGTAGCCGCGGATCTGCCCGTTGGGCTCCTCGGGCTCCTCCCACGTCACCAGCATGGTGGTGGCGCTGAGCATGCGCGCCTGCACGTTGCGCGGTGGGCTCGACGGCGCCTGCTCGCTCGTGCGCGTCAGCACCGCGTCGCTCTGCGAGCCGCGCCCGATGTTGTTGACGGCCGCCACCAGGAACTCGTACTCGGAGTAGGGGCCCAGGCCGCCCACCGTGTAGCGCGTCGTCGCCACGCCGTCGATCTCCTGGTAGTGCCCGCGGCCGTCCGGCGCGCCGCCGCCGCCGCCGCCACCGCCGCCGGTGACGGGCCGGTAGCGCAGCACGTAGTAGGTGATGGGCTCGGCGTTGCCCGAGTCCCACGTGAGCGTCACGCTGGTCGCCGTTGTCTCGGTCACCACCGGCATCGAGGGAGGCCGGGGCAGCGCTACGGGAGCGGAGGGGGCAGGCGTGGAGTACCAACAGCAGCGTCGTCATCGTCGTCGTCGTTCGTAAGCGATTTTTTTTGGGTTAGGCCGCGACGGAATGATGTGTCCTAAGACCCACAACCACGCCACATCACGGCCACACCACGGCCACAGCGCGGCGCGACACCCGCGCGACTCCGTGCCCGCAACGCACCTTTGACGGTGACCTGCGCGGTGGCCTCGACGACCCCGAGCGAGGACATGGCGACGCACGTGTAGTTGGCGCTCTCGCGCACGTTGCTCAGCTCCAGGACGTTGCGCCCGATGGGCATCTCCTCCTCGGGGGTCAGGTCCTCGCCCCCCGACATCCACTTGACGTAGGGCATGGGCGACCCCACCGCCACGCAGGACACGTTCACGCTGCCGCCCGGCATGATCTCCTGACTCTTGGGCGGAATGGAGAACCGTGGAGGAACGTGCCTCACTGGAAGGAGGGGGGTGGGGAGTGGGGGGGGGGGGCGGTGGGTGGGGGGCCGTGTGAAGGGGGTTTTCGGGGGAGGGGAGGGGCACGAGTTGAAGGTGGGGGGAGGGTAGGTTTACGGGAAGGGAGGAGGGGAGGGCGTGGGGGGCGAGGGGTCGGGGTGGGGAGGGGGGGCAGTAGGCAGTGCCGTGATATCCATGCAATCGGCGGGGCGCCGCCTGGGCCCCCCACGGTTCACTGATGCGTGTGCACGCGCGCGCGATATGCAATATACGTATGTGTATACGGCGGAAGCGTATACAGATATGTACGCGGGCGCATATGCGGCGGGCGCGCACGCGCACTGCAGTGGCACCGTCGGTCCCGATGGAAATCGGTGGTCGCGTCGGCTCCGCCGCCTCGGCGATGCGGAGATGCGGTCGCATCGATGTTGGCAAGTTACATCCGAAATAGGACCGTTTCGGTACCGTGTCGGTACTGTATTGTCGGGTAAGCGTACAGAACTCGCAAGGGCTGATTTTTTTTTTTTGGAATAATTTTGAAAGTTAGCTTACGAGATCAGAAATCCTTACGGGACCAACACTTTCAGGTTGTTATGTTACAAATAAATATTACAAGAAGATTGCCCCCACTGTGACGGCGGAAAAAGAGTAACGGGACCCCCCCCCCCCCCCCGGCCCACCCCCCTCTCCGACCCCCCAGTTCCTCCTGTTGTCACGATCACAGGAGACACCAACACGCTATCGTAGGCACTGCCTCGTCACTTCCATAACCGGCACGTCTTCAACGATTGTTGTGTGCAAATAATGGATCCATTGATTCTGTCGCGGTTTCACCCTAGAGGTATCGGTTACGTCGTTTTTTTGTGTTGTCGTTGTAAGTTTCAATCCAATATTGACTTCGGTGGGAGACTTTCCGGTGCCATCATTTGTGGGGGATCCTGTGACCTCCCCCTCCCCCCTGACCACCCGGCCCCCACCACCCCCCCCCCCTCATATTCAACTTGCACTACCATCGAGGGCTACCCAATCAATTGATCCGTTATTGTGCGCGATGAATCGTTGAAGCTGAAGAAAACATTTCCCAGCGGGCGAACTTGAGACTGCTGGCATGCAGAGGGGGGGGGGGGGGGACCGGAAGGACAGAGAGGAAAGGAAGTCGGAGGAGGAACAAAGAGAGATGGTCCATGCACATCGTCATGATGAGGGGAGGGGGGGGGGGACGGTAGGGGTGGGTGGGTAGGGGAGGAAGGTGGGAGGGGTTTGGCAGGGTCGGAGCGGGGGTGGGGGGGGCGCGCTGGGCTCCTGGGGTAAGAAAGATTCGGAACGCAAAACGAAAAGACGCGGGAAACGATGGGAAGCAATCGCTGGGTCGATGTGAGTGAATGTGAATCCCCCACATTGTCACATCACTGCTGGAGTCGGGTAACAGGGGGACGGGGGGGGGGGGGGCTGGAGGGGGCAAGGGGGGTCGTGGGGGGGTGGGAGGGAGGGGGACTGGCAACCACAGCCGCTCCGTCCTGAGTGACATTTCCCTCTCGTCGAGAGACGCCCCAGCCCGGGCGGCAGATTTCGTGCCGCGAGGGGCACGCGGGACGGCGAAGGTCACGGGGGATGAGGGGAGGATGGAGGAGGAGTGGTGGTGGGGGGGGAGCCGAGGCGGCGAAGGGGACGACGACGGCAGATTGTGCAAGTCCGCTTGCTCGCTCTGTGGAAGCTCTGCTCCACCGTCGTGTTCATCCCGCTTCCCCATTTGTGGAGCCAGATTTGCCGCCGTGGGGGGGGGGGGGGGGGGGGGGGCACGGAGTTGAAAAATAAAAGATTCCACATTCCCTCTGGCATTCCCGGGCGTCTCGTCGACGCTTTTTGAATGCCGTGAATTTGCGGCGGAGAACGAGGCTCGGCTCGACGTTACGGAATCGACCGCGACGAACAAAACTGAAAAAAAAATGTAAACGCCAAATTTGAAATCTCAATTTGGCGTGTATCGACACGCAGGTGCGTCGGGTAATTTGTCTCAATACTTTAACGCGAGCTGCCATTAATGGGGGGGGGGGAGGGCAGGGGTGGTGGTGGGGGAAGAGGTGGGTGGGATGGGCGGAGGGTGGGGGGGGGGGCGTTAGAGGTCAGGGTTATGGATCCGCGTGCGGAGTTGCCGCCAAATTCTGCCGCTCGGGAAGGGCGCTTCTCCTCCCGGGGACGATGCCATCGAGGAACGGGACATTTGGGAAAGAGGGGGAACAAACGAGAGGGTGTTTTGGGAAAAGGCGGTGGGCGGTGGGGGAGGGAGTTGGGGCGGGGGGGCTAGGAGCGGGGTTGGGGGGCAGGGGGGGGGTCGGAGCAGCAGTGGGAGGACCGAGAAAGCAAGGGGAGTAGCAGGCAGGGATCACCGTTCCGCTTCCCGCTGGGGGGGGACAGATAGCGCAAGCATGCGGCACGAGACAGAAGCAGCGGCAGCAGCAGCAGCAGCAGCAGGGGCAGCAGCAGCGGTAGGAACATGCACGGCCTCGCGCACAAGGTCGCGAACGTCCGCCAGATCGATGCCTCCGCATCTCATTCATTACCCGCGATTCTCCGCCGAGCGGATTTGATAGGATCGGCTGATTTATCCGCTGTGGATTTGCGTCCTTTGTTTTTTGTGTGTTTTTTTTCGCGCGAGAATTGCGGGCCGTTTATCACGACGGACGTCATCGCGAGGGTGGGACGAGGACAGAAGAGCTCCCTGCCGGCGGGAGACCGTCGCTAGTACCCCCGAAATTACCGCGCCGTCCTACGGAACACCTTCCGGAGCTCTCGACACCTATCAAATACCGCGGTGTCTATCAAATAGCATGACAACTATCGAATACTTTGGAATCTATAAAATATGAGTTCTAACATTGAACTTGACAGACGTAAGAGCCTTTGACAGACGTCATGGCATCCCGACAGGCATCAAATACTACGACGTCTATCAAATACTTATGGGAAGATATCACATCCCAAGGTGTATTTTGAAAGCGATACCGTCCATCAAATCCGACGATACCTCTACAATACCACGGTGGCCTATCTGATACCGTAGTATTTATGCTTCATAAGTAGCGTCCTTGTAATGGGCCACGCGGCCTTATGGCGGATGGATAGGCTCGCAATCGGAAGGATTGCAAATTCAAATCCTGGTTTCGGGGGCGGTGGGGGGATGACTCAGCCGATCATCATCCCTCTGCGGCTCCTAAAATAACTATCACTTTACGGTGAAGGCAGTCGTGGTTGTCTTATTAAGTGACTCGGTCCCACCATAGGAATATGAAAGGGCCTGATATGCCCGTTCAAGCAGGAAATTTACGTTTTTCGACGAGGAAAGTCAATCACCGCGGGTGTCTACCGAACGGCGTTCACCGCGTCTTTGGCACGGAGGTCATGGCTTTGACGTCGCTCTCCCGTGCAGCGTTCACACACACACACACACAGCAGCCACAGCAGCAGCAGCAACAAGCAGCAGCAGCCAGGGTCCCAGAAGATCTGGCACCCCCAAGAGTCCAAGGCCCTCAACAATCTGGTTCTCGTCGACAGCCAGGTCAAACCAGGCTCTCCGAAATCCAATTCTCAGAATCCAGTGACCTGACTTTCAAGGACCCAGGTTCAAAGACCAGGATCTTAGATCTTAGGTGGCCACTTTTTTTTTCCACTGCCGCCGCCGAGCTGAGCCTGTGCGTGGGGGGACTTTCGTAGTACGTGGCGGCTGTCACGCTGAGCCAGAAACAAAACGCCGGCCTCACCGGAAGACGTCAGAGTCTGGCTGGTGGCCAAGCAGGGCCAGGGGGCGGGGGGCTGTGGACGTGTCAGTTGCGTGCGACGCCAGTCGGTAACAACTCAACCTGGCGTGGCTCGGTTGGGCAATGGAAAAACTGGACTCGGAAACCAGAATCTGAGTCCCCAGGCTTTCAGTGAGCCAGTTCGTCAGGAAACCCGGGTTTAAATGACCTGGCTGTGAAGGAGCAGCCTGTCAGACAGAAGGCATCATGGGCTGTGGAAATGTGGTGCGAGGGGGGTACGCAGGCACGAGGAGGGAGGGGGGGGGGAAACCACGATAGGAGGGGGGGCAGCATGATAGGAGGGGCGAGGGGCTGCAGGCGCGGCAAGCAAAACGTGATTCACGGCGACCGCAGAGCTCCGATTCGAGAGGTCAGAAAAAACAACAACCACAACAACTACAACAACTACAACAACAACTAAGATCACAAGTGGCGGTTGAAACGATCCCACGCGATGGAGGAGGAGGCTGTCACGAGCACGCGGTTGATGAAAGGGGGCAGCAACATGGCAGTGGTGGTGGGAAGGGGGGGGGGGCGGTGATGCCCGTTCCACGGGTGTGCACGCACGCACGGGCAGACTTTTAAAAGCACTCCGCCTGTGAATTAGAATCTCCGGGGTTCTCGCGAATCTCGCCCGGGGCCGACACCAGTCGCGGTGGTTTTTTTTTCCAGCGGCGCGGCCAATGTGGGCAAAGCGTGGCGAACCCCTTCACTCTGCGACGGCGTGTTACTATCCCTCGGCCGCTCTGCAGCAGCGCTGTCCACTCGACGCGTGTTTCACGTTTTACGCGCCGGCGCCTTGCCGGCGCAAGATGCCTCGCGTCGCGGTGATCGTTACGTCCACAGTTATGTACCCGGCAAACCTGCGTGCCGTGCACATTTTTTTCTCTCTCCCCACTATACAATCCCAACTGTGAAAGAACAAAAACTATTGAGTGGGCACGATATATATATTTTTTTCAGGAGATCAAATTTGGATGGAAAACCCAACCCCGCCCCATCCCAACAAAATCTATTTTTTGCTGTCGCCACCAACGATTGTGACAGCGCCACCCACGGGACACACGTGACACACGTGGGTGGCGCTGGGGCTGCCCGTGCGTGGGGTGCACGTTCCCCCTTGGAGCGCTCGATGAAAAGTTGAACGAGACGAGGTGGGTAGAGGGGTTGAAGACGGCAAGGTGAGAGAGCGGGGATGTGGGAGGGG